TTTTTTTTTTTTTTTTTTTTTTTTTTTTCTTCTTCGGTACAACATTTGGCAAAGGACACGTCCAGCCACGAGCAATATATTCATATATACCTATGAGAATAAAACTAATTACCTTTAATCTAATGACACCTTAGTTGCGTTGGTAACTCCATACACGATTTACAGAGTTGGTTTCGACCAGTCAAGATTCTCCTTTTCTGCCGTGGTTCAACAAAGCTGTACACAACGTAAGGGAACAAAAAAAAAAAAAAAGGAAAAAAAGGAGAACTGAACGCTATATACAGGTGGACGAGCTTAAGGATGCGCTCGAAAGACGCTTGTCGCGTCTCGATTAAAAAGAAAAAAATGGGAGAGAAATGCTTCTCGAAGGATATACCCGGTCGCTCGTCTTGATTCGTTTTTATTTTTCCAACCCCATGCGCACAGGTATGTCACTGTGAACAAAGTTTTGGAAAAAGATCATCGTTACGGTGTCTACCTTCCCCGAACGAAAACATTTGTTTCATTATAAAATGTTTCTTCAATTATTTTTATCTCGTTTCAGTTTTTTCAAAGTCGAGATTGTGAATATATAGGTATAGAGATATATAAGCGATGTACGCGTTATGATACGAGGGTTTACGCGAGGGATTACAAGTTGATCCGATGGAAAATCTTAAACGACAGCTTTAATCCTATTCGAGCAATCACTTTGAGATACAAGAGATACAAGAGGAGACAAAGTGTCACAGCAGAATACTCTAAGTCCTCTATACTGTCTTCACTTCGTTACATAATATAAGTGAAAAAATATACACAATTACATGGGATATTTAAATTGCTAGACAGTGTCAAAAATGAAGGAGATTTAAAATCAATTGTAACAATACACTGCAAGTGGGTCGTATCTCGTTAAAAATAACTAATAGAAAACCGTTCTTCCGATCAAAAATATCAACGTCAAAAATTATGGCAATAATAATATTATATCCCTGGTGGACGAACAAAGGAGTATAAGTCGGAATTCTCAGCCTCGCGGGAAAGCGCTTAAAACTTATTAGATGGAATTCGAATGAAACACACGTGAAAGTTGATGAAACATGTCTCGTTAGCTCACATCGTCATATGCACTTGTAACAATTATACAAAGTATAAAGTGCAGCAACGTACAGGATTAAATGTGAAGTCATTTTAAATGTGAAACCATTTATACACCATCTATATTATCTCGACCAATGTTTAATTATTCTTTTGCTCGTCCATCGGAGGACAGATGTAACAAGTGCAACGTACAAGATTAAACGTGATAGTTTAAATGTGAAACCATTATATTAACCATCCATATTATCTCGACCAATGTTTAATTATTCTTTTGCTCGTCCATCGGAGGACAGATGTAACAATGTAAAATAATATTCAAATAATATTCGTTACTCACCGATCGAGAAACCTGACGATCACACGACGAACGTCTCTGTTCAGGTCCAGCAAGCGCCTCCTCGGCGCTGTCGATGTCACAGATAAACTTCTGGACTCGCTGGTGCTGGTTGATGCTGCTGTTGCTGCTGCTGCTGCGGCGGCGGCGGCGGCGGCGGCTGTTGTTGTTGCTGTGGCTGTTGCTGCTGCTGTTGCTGCTGCTGCTGCTGTTGATTTTGCGACTGGTGCTGCGGCGGTTGCGGCTGCGATTGCGGCTGCTGTTGCTGCTGCGACGCCTGTTGCTGATGATGGTTGTGATTGTGACTGTGATTATGATTATGGCTCTGCCGCGTCCTCAGGATGTCCCATCGTTGCTTGTAAAGATCACGTTCCTGCTGGATACGAGCCAGCTCGATCTTCATTCGCTGAAGTTCATTCTGCAGGTTTCTGTTCGTCGTCTCGAGGTCGTGACGTTGCTGCAGCCGTTTGCTACGGCAGTTCTGAGCGTAGCCGCGATTCTTCAACGTTCGCCGCTTCTGCTTCAGGCGCACGACCTTCGCAGAACAGGAGGATCCGTTTTACCAACCAACTCGATGGCAAATGACTCGTGGATATCACATTTGACGAGAGGTGAATTGGTATTAGTCTGCTTAGTCTCTCTCTCTCTCTCTTTCTCTCTCTTTTTTTTCTTTATTATTTTTCTTTATTATTTAATCGTTCGTCGATACGATTTCTTTTAATTAAATGAACGATCGTTTACTGCTGTAAATATCGTTTGCTGCTGCGTGAGGGATATATTGAAATATTGAAATTGGCAGCTGAAAGTGAAATTTAAGCTGGAAGTGAAAGTAAGCCTTGTCGCAAATATAGTCGGTAGTTTTTTTTAATCTGTATATTTTATATTTAATTTGTATGTTTAACGTAGTAATTTAATGTCAACGGCGATAAATCATTTTGTTTTATTTGTTGCGAATCTGATTACTTTGAGATTGTGTTTTTTTTTTAATAAAAATATGATACATTAAAATATTTCAGAAGTCTGATAATACGAAAATCATCTGGCCAAAGTCACTGCAGAGAGATAGAATCAAATTTATTACTAACGAATCAGAGAGGAAATGTATTAAGAAAACTTCTCAGGATGAATAATAATTTTTTAAGAGACGATGTATTAATAGCCGCTAGTATTGATAAACAGTTGTGTAAACAGTTTTTGTAAAAAAATAAAAACATACTGCCGTCACGTACAGTGATAACTCGGGCGTCTGACTAATAAACGGTTCATTCTACTGCAGCCACAGATACCAATTCACGCTCACTTTACTCAAAAATTATCTACCTACGAAAATCCTATCAATTTTACGATATTATCAAAAAATTCTTTTCAAGTCCATTCATTTTTATCACTATCGTTAAATAATCCATTATCATTACAACCAACAAGCACAAAAAAGTCGTATCAACGCCACAGTAAAGAAATACACAAACACAGTAGAACTTTGATTATTTCAATTAATCGTGGCACATGTTGTTTAAATAATCGAATGACTTTATCTACACGCAGTCGTTTAACAAAGCCAAGCAATTAACAAAGCCGTTTCTTATCGGAGAATTTAGAATAGAAGAATACTCTTTGGTTTCAATTCGATTACTAATAACAATAAGCACAGTAATTTTGTAACAGTATACAAAGAATCATAACGATGAATGGGTTGAACGAAAGGAAAAAATTGTTTAATAAAGATCCAACAATTTCTATTCTCATTTTCCAGTTTTTCTTATAAAAAAAAAAAAGAAAAATTTTCCATTAAATAATATTCCGGTAACGTGTCGTTCCGACAATCAAAATTCTACCGTTTAAAAAAAAAAAAGAGAAAAAAGGGAAAAAAAAGGGGGGAAAATCGAAAAAATTACGAACGCACAGAGCAAACGATCGGCCAAACTAAAAAAAAATTGTGAATGAAACGAAAGCGAGGCATTACCTATGCGAAAGTGTCGTTAAGAATGTAAAAGACCTGACTCACCTCTTCCCGCGGGCAACCATGGAGGCGTTTGTTCAATTCGCGTACGGAAAGCGACATGAGCAGCTCGTCGTTCATGAGTTCTTCCTGTGGATTGTTACTCCCGCAATTCGGGTAAAGAACGTTGCCTTTGTGCGGCGGAGTCGAGCCACCAGCAGCGCAAGAACTCACTGAACAAACGCTCATCGGCCTTTGCATCTGCATGCTCTGCATGCTGTCTTCCATCCCTGACATTCCACTTCCGCCCGCGGGAAGCATCCCGCCGCCTGCTCCCGCACTCGCATAGTATTCTATGTGGCCCGTGATATATCCACCTACAACAACATTTGCCGGCTTCGAGTTTCATCTTCGTTCTAAAGAACGAGGCTTCCTCGTTATTAACCTCTTGCGCTGCAACGACGTGCCACGCGCCTCGTTTTTTGTCCCAAAATTGCAACATTTTCTCAGTTTCGAGTACATTTTAAGTATAAACACAGGCAAAGCAAACAGTGAATTTATTACTATTCAATAATTTCTATCCAGCGATGTCATGCCGACGAGTTCGAAAAGAAAGCGACGATTTGGTCACTCGTTATGGTCCGCAATCAGTTGCCAGCGCAAGTGGTTAAACTGATGTTACACTTCGTATCGCCGATCGCACGTTTATGTCGCGAGGCAATACCTCACGTTTCATAAAATACTAACTTTGTAAACGAAACGATCATCTGCTACTTTAAATGTTCGAGTTATCAAACCTAACTCAATAAATTGTGTCGTGTGAAAAAAAGTTTGCCTTTAAATGCGTAACACCCTACGTTTAACATTGATAAAGCCGATTTTTCATGAATTAAATTTACGTCGTTTACAGTAGTGACACGATCGATAATTAATATTGAAAGGATCCTCTTTGCCGCCTAACATTTTATTCCAATTGGTTCGTACTCTATAAATTATTGTCGAATATTACATTCACAATTCATCTGTAGTTTCATATTTTTGTGATCGATAAGAAAAAAATCCAATAACGCTAGCGCCAGCTAACGAATTAGTAAAAAACAGATTCGCAGGTGGAGATGTGCGTTTAGGGCAATTTCGTCACTTTAAGGTAATTTTCATTACGTTCATTTCACGCACATTGTGCAATTCGTGCTATCAAGTCATCGTGTGTCATTAACTGTATCATTAGACTAGGAAGTTCGTTGATATCATTGAAAGAGAGGAATTTGATAAATCGTTACAGTCCATTGCAAATAAATCGTTCTCTCCCTTCATTTACCTACTATATGATACTCAACGTGCATTTGCACAACCGTAATCGTCGCGCCAGTAGCTTAAGCCAGTCAAAAAGCTTTTCTAGCTGAAATATAATGCTTTGTCTTACAAATTACCAGAATTCGAATAAAATGTTTGCAAAAAGAATCCTACGTAATATATTTATTAAAGTATATACTTTCAACACGGGAGAGAGATATCCAACGTTTTTCAGCATGAATTCTTTCCTTTATTAATTTCTCCCTTATTAAGAACCTTTTCAACTACACGAAAGACACAACCAAAGAGAAACCCAGGAAAACAGGATCAAACAAAACAAAATCTATCCCTCGTTCCAAAACCCATCCCTCCCTCTGAAGATACCAGTGCACTCACCAGTGTGTCTGGTATGACGCTGCAGGTGTTGCAGGTCTTGGAAATGATGATGCATCGGTGTAGAGGGCCAGGCCTCGTGATGAGGCTCCGGCGTTTGCTCCTGAGGGCAATGAGGCCTGAGATCAAGCGGCTCCTGCCTCAAGGATTGCGTTAACCAGCCCATGCCACCGCTACCAGCTTGCATATCGTCTTGCACGATGGAGTTGGGCTGCTGTAGTTGCAGGAACAGGCCTCTGTCGCGGGAATCGCGGTCACCCCGGTGCAGTTGCAACGGTGGCGGCGATGCCGAGACCGGAGGCGTGTCCGGCGGTGTTCCAGGATGCGAAAGCGTGGTCAGATGAGACGCTGCACCCGGCGGCGCCTTCACCAGGACGCCGTGCTGCACCTGAATGTGCGGCTGTCCGTAAAGCGGATGGGGTTGCTCAAGCTCGTGCGCCGGCGGCGTCAGAGGCGCCAGGGCCAGACCTTGCGCTTGCAGACCCTGACCAGGTAACTGCACCACACTGCCGTTCACCATCATCGGTGAGCTAATTCTTACCTGGACGGAACAAACAACGACAAATGGTTAATTTATATATATCTTTCCTAAATATCAAGAGTTTCGTACTTACTTAACGAGAACAGATAACGAGAATCGTTCAAGTCTCAATACCTTGAACTTTGCATAGGATGATCAATGATTTGCCTGTTTACCAGACAACGCAATTGATACAATCGAGGGAAGAGAAAAACGAGAAAGCGACTCGAATAATCCTATTTGGTAGAACTTCAGCCAAGAAGTATTATATTATGTAAAGATTACTTGAGTAAACAACAAAATAATTTCTAAAAATGCAATAACACACACACACACACACACACACACGACCGGATTACGATAACTAGAACCGAGATTGTTGACATTAGTCGGACAAAGTTTTCATTCGATGAGTAAAATCGTTACATCCTCGTAGAGAACTTAAATATCTATTTGAAGCTGAATTTTAAACATTAGATTTTTCATTATCGATTATCGACCGTCGAAGAAAATATTTGCTATAAGTGGTATGAACCTGAATGTTAAAAATTTTATAATGACGACGCTTCATTTCTGAGCTAGAATATTCTTTACACAACTTTTCTATATTTGTTTAAATTTAGATAGAGTGATATGAAAATTAGGAATTAGGAACATAAACCTAGCATTTAAAAAGGGTGAAAAATACTTTATTCCACTTAAATAATTCTTTAACATTAGTATACTTTAATTGGGGAAATTGTGACAGTACGATTCTAAGAAGTTTTGAAATTTTTAATTGATTCTTATAAATCTGAGACAATGGAACCAATAATTGTTAAAAAAAAAGGTGCATGGAATAATATTAAATATTATTCAATTCAATGCACATATTATTATAACATAATAATTAAGAAATTACATGCAGCTGAATTTTATCTATGATTATTGACATCTCTCGAAAATAGACAGATCATATTACATAATGTTTTGATTATTACGTATGATGCTTATAGAAATGTGATTGGTTTAAGTATCCATTAACAGTAACACTAAATAACAGGGGAGTTACGTAATTCTTCGAACATAGGCGATCTAAAATTTCGTGCAACGAATATTCCTTAATAATACACCTTCCGATTTCTTTACGAATCTTTTCTTTGCAGATCTCTTTTTCCAGTAATACACACGTGCAAATTATTACAGTAATTAGAAAAACAACGAGTTCTTGAAACAAATTGCAGAAACAAGCTATATCATTCGATGAACATCTGAATTATCAGAATAAATAAATTCAAAGAATTTAGTATATATCGTCCAGTGCTTATATGGAAATATGTTTCGTGTTTCCCTTTACATAAATATACATATAAATAAATGTACATATAAATAATTTCAAGCTTATATAATATAAAATGACGCACGTAACTCTATTTATACATACGACGTCAACGTCACTGAACAAAATTCTCAGTGGTAAATGAATTACTTCGTGTTCACCGAAAAGAGACAGAAAAAAAGGAAACAAAAAATATCAATCAAATTACGAATGAACACTTTCTCAATGAACACTCGCCAACGTAGAGATTCAACGATTTGACAGACATTCGCGATGAAAATTATTTTCCAATTATCAATATAATTAAGTTAGATAGAGAATGATGTGTTAGAAAAAAACTTAATTTCAATAAGTTCCTTGGAACAGCGATACGAAACTACGTCATCTCGGACTTGCAACAGAAAAAAAAAAACTATTTTTCAATATCGCTACACGTGTTCTGCATTTATGCGAAGTGTAGATACTTCGAATGGAAAAAAAGTCAAGATACGTGTTAATTCATTCTTAAGTGTTTCTATTTGAAAAATAAAGCGATATGATATCTATCTGCTATATAAAAAGTAACTTTCGCAGCTGTTACTTGTTACTATGCGTGTCTAATTGAATTAATCTTATCACTAAAATATGCACAGAACGAACGGTAAGTGATGGATTGACGATCGCAATCTTATTGGCCGTGAATGTTCATGCAATCGCGTATTTTCGCGAACAACGAAATTAAATTCGTATAAATCGATTTCGTGTAAATTCTCTGCACTTCGAAAATTTTTCTAAATGTAGCGCGTAGACACTCGCGAGGCAACAAACGATCCACGTAAATCTGACGAATAAAGCCTAATAACTGGAGTAATGAATGTTCCAAGTGAAACGTATCAACGACTAACCTCTCGTTTGACGGCGGGATCGAGATGATCGAGAACAAACTCCTGTACGTATTCTCTGGCGAGATGCTCCTCGGCTTCCATCTTAACCTCGTCGACCTCTACCTCCACCTCCTCTACCGGACCCGTTGTAGCCGCATACGGGACCGTCTTCTCGCTGCCACCGCCACCTCCGCCGCCACCACCTCCGTCACCCCCTGGACAACTCGTCACCGTTTGTTGCGTCGTGACCACCTTTTCAATCGACTCTACCCAACAATTTGAAAACGCTACCCCCACCCCCCTTGATCAGGGAGCAACAACACCCCCACGTGAAACAAAATCCTCGATTTTTTCACCCTAACGTCCACTTGCCATTCTTACTTAGTTCAGTTATTCTTATTATTCTTTCGAATACGACACGATCCTTCTCGGCGATTAAAACAACTCCATTGAGAGTCTTGCTCGACGACGCGTCGTTCAATGATACTTTACGAAGCTAGACAGTCGGACGTAAAGTAGAAAATTTACGAATAGTATCTTTACGTGGTTGGTAAAATACTGAGAATCGAATACTTCCAGTCAATGAGGACACTGCGTGTCTCGTTTTGAGGTTAGTCACTCTTCGTGAACTCTACAGACGTTACACCGCACCATTACACCACTGTGTCAATTTATCATTTCGATTCGGAAGAAATTCACTGCCTCGTTCCCACGTATGTATTTCGTGTCTCTCGCGCAATGTTAATCCACTGACAACACCGTCATCGGCCCACACACTTTCTCCCCTCCCCCCTCTACCCCACCAGAAGACGTTCCCGCCAAAAAATGGCTTTGCTCGCCGAACCAACTCACCACCTTCGATAATTCGCGGTACCTCAGATACCTTTCCGATTTTCGTCCGACGAGCAACGATTCACAGATCCACGCGGAGAACTTGATAGAGGAAACTATCGTTTGCCGTTGTATCGTGGCTTTTTTGTCGCGTGTGCGTGGCTCGCGGACTATGATCTGGCAGAAAAGAGAAAAAGAAGACGCGCGATAACGGTGGATACGTCGTCCGAGTGGTGACTGGTCCGACGAGTGTGGTTCCGATGTGGCTCTACGCGCAGGACACAGGTGACGTCACGGGTGGGCGTGGCCAAGAGTTTACTCGATTCCCTAGCGCGTGCAGCGATTGGTCCGGCGGGAGTAGAGTCGCCATTTGCACGCTACTCTCTTGCCCCCCACCATCGGCAAGCCACCTCGTCACTCCCGGCACGGATCTCCCGTACCTTCGCGGAGGTACCATTAATTTCTAAAGTGATTATTATAATTTTTCAGTGGACGCGTTGCTCCTCTCCGCTTAACCCCACCCTTCCACCTGTGCCAGAATCGTACCAGGCGCGTATACACCGTCGTCTCCTATACCGAATCTCCGTCGTGTACCGCTCTCTTTCCTCGGGATTTCAATTTAGCGCCGCTCGGTATATATAAGAGGTTGACCCGTTATCGCGAGGGCCACGATCCTCGAAATCGGTGCCGCAGTACGATTTTCCGCGGGAGAATGACAGTTCTTACGCGACACCGACGTGCAGCACGCCGGTGAAATATCGTTTGGATGAGAAATGACAGAGAACTGCAAATTGCCAGTTCTCTGTTAATAAACAAAGGAAACAAACGGATTGCCCTCGCCTGTTGACAAATCAATTAGCACTTTTTGCCTAATACCTGAATGTAACTATCCGTACCCTTTTAACTTCAGATCATCGAAGTAAAATAACGATATTCTTCTTACAATAGTTATTATATTTGAAATATAAGGAAGAAATTTTATGAAACACAATCTGCTGGTATCCGCAATGTTCTCAGAGAGAAGAATATGTATCTAATCCTTTTAGTACCTATATCAATTAAATATGTATAATATTGTAATAATGATTTATTGGTTACAATTGTGATAATAAATAAAAGATTTGGTTGCAATAATAATAAGTAACTAATATTACTTGAAAATAACTAAAATATAATGCTTTGTTCTCAAAATCATCGAATAAAATTAATTTTTTTCATCTCCTGGACAGTGATCCCTTTGTAGTTGTGTCATTGTTCTTCCGAAATACCTATATATAGCGATATGCTGACGGTCGCGCGACTGGAATTAGGGAATGTGGAAATCGGAGACTAGTTTCCACCAGGGATCGTGAATGTGAATGGAAAAATCTCGCCGTTCGAGTTCGATCCGCGTCGGTTTTCCAAGAGAAACGGCGCGAGATTAAATGCGTGACCTTATTCTAACAGCTTGAACCTTCGCAGGGATAATTACGGAGGTTGTTGAACAACGAGGTTCATTCTTCGTTTTTTCAACAATTAAAATTGACTAGGTCATTCAAGGCCATTTAAACAACAGACTATAACAACATCTACTGTTATTTTACAGAGTTGTAACGTTGATGGTTGTACGGGAGGTATTATATTTTTCTATGTTTTAATACCTGCAATAGAAAAAGAATATGTATTTACATTAACATTTAGAATAACGTGGTACCACTCGATAGCTTTTTAAATATGAATTACTTACGTAGATAATTGTTCAATTTTTATTTAGAAAAGATTCTGCAAGTGAAATTAAAATTTACATTGACTTTCATGTTTCATTGAACTTAAAAATAAAATAATGTCGTAGCGCACTTCAGTGACATATAAATATGCTTTCATGAATTACATTCCTTATATTCATTTTCGAAATATTTTGTTGTTGCCTTGCACGCATTTCACAACACCTATAGTTATACCTCGCGAGTGTCGAATGCAAGTAGATGAATCAAACATGTGCCAAAAATTATTTTGCATATTATAAACTGGTGATCATTATTATTACGATGATGATATACCTAACGATGAATTTCACATTTCTTGATATGATATTGCAAGAAATATATAATTATCAAGAAATTCGTTTTAATACTCTTCCTATCCTTTTTCTCCTTTTACTAAGCAAAAGTTCGACGTCCAAACGATTGCAAAGAAGTTGCGAACGAAGAGCGCGAAATCACGGATTCACATCTAAATAGGTTTCCACAAATGTCTACCCCTACTTAACAGTCTATATTCTATACCCATTTCTCGGATGGCACGACTTTAAAATGCTTCATGAATATCAAATTTTCGTTCTCTCACGCGCCTTCGCTGCACCCTCTCTTCTCGCTGTCTGTCTCCCCCTATCAGCTTCCTTTTCTTTTTTCTCCCCCTCTCCTTTATTTCTCATTTCCATCCGTTCACAGCGCTCGGAAACAAATTCGTCGTACCTACATGCAACGATGCACTATCCAAAGTTTTAACTATTTTATACGATAATTGCACAGGTATTATATTATTCATTTTAAGAATGTTTTCAAAAAATTATTAACGCTAAACAGCGAATAGTACCACGCGCGGTTTGATATGATAAAGTTTAATTAACACGTTGCGTGAGATATCTTCATATAATTTTGTACGAAATATAATGTATTTCTTTCAGACGTGTTAATGTGATACCCGCCCCATCTAGTAAAAAGAAATTGAAATTTCTTTCTTTCTATTTTTTTTTTTTTTTTTTTTGCATTTAAGTTGCACCCAAACTCTGTATACCGATTTCGTGCCGCTCTGTATACCTATTTCGCAATTTCTGAACTACCAATGACCGCTTGCACCCGATCGGACATTACATTTCAGTTATCGCGATTAATGAAATGGCGATTAGTCGATTTTGTTTCGATTGAAAGTCGTTGGATTTAATTTAATTATCACTCAACTTGTAAGTGGTGTAAATCATCAATGTTTGCGCGTGGTATCGCCCGTGGTTTCGCAATGAGCCTCCTGAACCAATGACTGTACACACTGCGTGGCACGTGCAATCTTCTAAAACGCACGTGAACGAATGCAAACAGCCGATCTGTTAATAATAATAATCGTGATCGACTCATCAATAACGAATTCATATTTTCAATCAAGCCGAGCGTCAAGAAAAGGAAGCAAACGGAGGGAGAAAGAAACGAAGGAAGCTTTAAGGTCTATCCGGAAGCTTTAACCTAGCGGGCCAAGGTGACAAGACAGACAGAATTTTGTTGGTCTAGACGGCAAGTGTCGCAAAGACCCGGAATAGAACGGGGCGAGGACGACGACGATAGGATTGGCCATTTTGTTGAGCGCAGGAATTCGTCGACGCTGCACTTCGATACTCTCCGCCTGCCGTTTCCTTTTTTTTTTTTTTCGTTCCATCCTCGTCATTTGCCCCATACTCGCGATTTCTCAGTATAATGAATCCGGCAAAATTTTCCATCGGCAGTGGGCACACCGGGTGACCGACGTGGCGAACGATACACACATACCGTGAAATCGTTACGCCTGTGCACCTGTACGATTGTGCAACGAGAAATTGTACATACTTTTCTTTTATCTTAATCTGCGTGTATTTCGTGCTGTTATTATGCCTATCGTTGTAACATTCCCCATCGATAATGCTCTTTATCAATGGACACTTTGTGACAATTCCTGTTCTGAGAATATTTATAAAAATTTAAATAGATATTATTGATTGATCGTACACTGTAACCTGCGAAACGATTATTCTACGAAGCAGGCACCTACGTTAAATTCGATAGAGTAATTTTCTCGAGAGAGTTAGCTATTATTAGTTTTGCGATCGCTTGTGAACATGCGGCTGTAAAAATGCAACAAGTTATATTATTGACCTACTTCCGTCATCAATTAAGATCTGCACATCTGTTCTAAAAATCCAACGAGTTATATCTTTGACCTTTAGCCATTCCGTGCCATAAACTATGTGGCCAGTATGTATCTGCAACTGTGTATCAGACAGTGTAGATATTACGTGTCACAATCTTTTCCATTCTATTTAGAGAGCCGTGGATCACAGTTGCGCGTGTTAGTGAAACGACAGCTACTTGTCATAAAAGTTCTCAATCGTATCGCGAAAACTTTTCGCAATAGAGAATGAAGTTACATTATAATTATAATCATGAAACTTTGCTGATGCTCGATAGAATGATGCTGACACAACTAAATCGAAATATTTTTAAAATCTTAATGCTTAATCCTCAGGCAAGAATAGATTGTTGCTTGTGTCACTGGGAGAAGCAAAACAAATAGAAACGAAACATACGAACATACGTTTCCACCACAATGATTTTCTTTTGCCTGTTATCATACCGTTACACCGACAGGTCAAGAGACTGATCTATCGCATCTGGTGAAACGTCTTGGTCGGTTGGCGCGCAACAAACTTTACCGCGAGATTTACGACAAGCAATTGCATTCGAGAGCCAAACATGAAAGTTCCAGCTCTCTTTCTCTCTCTTTCTCTCTCTCTCTCTCTATGGCATCCTCTCTCTTACTTTCACTCCGTTCGAACGAATCCGTCGGACGGTGGGTCTTGATCTTAACTCCAATGCCAATCTCAGCCATTTATCCATCTTCCATGGGACTCCGAATCGTTCGACGAACGACTCGAAATTACCGATATACATCCAAAACTTTCTTTCGTTATCCTTTCTCTCCAGACGTAACCGATCACGATGTATGTAAGTACTTCTCGCTCAGTAAACGGAGACTCTCGTTGTCAGAGTGGACGAGACATTCGAAGGAAACTGCGATACTGTGACTTGAAGCTTATCTACATATTTTACATTTATATTTACATTTTTCAGATATCACTTCGTTTTTCTTCTTTTTTTTTTTCCTCTATATATACAATTTATACACCGTATTTATCATACATAAGAAAAATTTAAGGCATTTAATAATCATTTTTCATTTGACATTCTCCCCGATAGATCGAGTTAATTTAGAAAAAAAAGATCTACTAATTTTTCTGACCTCTGACGCCCGAATGATGTTAGGCGTTGGTGTTACGCCTCGAATAAAGAAGGAATTAAAGGAAGCAAAGGTTATTATATCGTCGTGCGCTCTTTTCGCGAACGAAACGGCTGCAAACATTCGATCGATGTTAAATTGATAACCCAGAACAGAACGATGAAGCAAGAGCGACGACACACTTCCTCGTATCTCTCACTTCTCGACTTTTTCTCTTCTTCTTCCTTTTTTATTCATCGTGACTTCTATGTTATCGTTTTACGCTTCATTCTTTTCGAGTCGCGTTCTGCGATTCTCGTTTATCACTGGCGAAGTAACCGTCGGAAGTGCGTCCGATAAGAGATCGTTGTTGCGAGAATGGCAGGAATATTCGACCAGTCGCGAGTTTCGAATTCAATTTTGGCGAATCACTTTGCTCGAAGGAACAGTATAACCAGGAGAGAGACTGGTGCAGAACGGTACGATACTACTAGCGTTTCGAGAACTTTTGACGACCATCGACTCTCGGCATTTCGTTCAGCTTCGATTAATACGAAATGGTTTTATAGATTTCGATAGAAACGTGAGTCGATGAAAATTACGAATTGAACGCAATTCGTAATTTGTACGTAATATTTAGTAATCATTGTAACCGAATGATTCTTCGTACAATCAACAGTAGCCAACTTGGGAATTGTGAAAACTTTTCAAATTAAATTTGTATATTTAGATTTACAGCGTCGACTTTTAAACAGTTGGATTTTGATATTGCTCTGTATCGCGCGCATACTCTATAAATTCTCATTTCCGACACGTCGCGCGCATCGTCTCGACAAAACAAAGAGAATGAGAAGCCTGAAATGCCTGTTCTTCGCAACGAGGAACATCTACGAAGCACAATGTGTGTTCCTAGCTAGAAGATATTTTATCAAATATCTATTTCAAAGAAATTAACTGATCATCGCCTAATCCTTCTATTATCCTAAATTCTCATTCCCTGATCTGCTCGATATCAGAAACACCGATCAATCGATTTTAACGTATCTCCCCCTCTGCGACGCAGCCGGAAATACGATTATGCAATATCAGAGGAATGCGAACAACTTCTGAAGCGCTAATCTTTCCGGATGCAAATTAAAAGTAATCAAGCCGCGAGTCCGTGGCTCTAAGGAGGTTAAGTTTATGAACGCGTTTCAGTATGAGGCCGTGGCTAAGACTGCGAGAGAGGAGCAAGAGTAAAGGTGGCTGGCAGTGGAGGAAAGAGGAGGAAACGAGGGAGAGTGCTGAGCCAGCATAGCCGGCTTGTGCCAGCCTGCACATCGATACCAACCAGTCAGCCAGCAAGCCAACCTACCAATGAACCCACCTACAGTCGATAGAAACGTTTTTTTTTTTTTTCTTTCTTTTTTTTCTTACGAGGAAACGTTACACATGCGATAAATCGATGCGAATTGAAAATTCTCGATCGAAAATCGTTCTGACACCGCGATCGTTGATCGACGTTCTCCTAAGGGCTGATGTAATTTCTACGAAAGGAAACAAAAGTTATGTCAGCGTTGACAACAGTATCCAAAAATATAATAACATTGTGTGTATAATGATCGAGACACAAGCTGTATGCTGTAAATTAAATGTTAAATGTTGAATGATGGCGACATCGGACAATAAGTTTGATCAGTGGTTAGTGAGTTGTTTTTTAGTAGATACGATGACAATACTGAAGAATCAAAATTGATATTCGGCGTGATAGGGGCGATCAGTGAAAGTGAAAGTAGAGTTGTATTATTTCTTCCCTTTATGTTATTGTTGAATGTTTATATTGTTTTCAGAGGAAATTGCGAAGCTTTCGAAAACACATTCGGAATGCCAATACAGTGATATTCCATAGGATTGGCCTCACAGTGAAAACAACTCGTCTCGGTCAGACACAGCGACACAGGTTCAAATATGCATCTCCACGTCCTGCTCGATAACGAAATATAACTATCGCACAAATGTGCATCTAGTTTAATTTTCGAGCATCGTCAGTGTAACATTGTCTTAAATCAAGTAAATTGTAAAACAAAATAGAATACAAATTTTTAACCAATTAAATTCCTTCTTAAATCAAGTAAATTGTAAACAAAATAGTCTTAAATCAAGTAAATTGTAAACAAAATAGGACACAAATTTTTAACCAATCAAGTAAATTGTAAACAAAATAGAACACAAATTTTTAACCAATTAAATTCCAACAGAATCAGAGGATCGACAAAAAGCTCTGTAATCTTAAAACATTAACCGAGGACGTTTATCAACAACGATCATACTAAAAAGCCGACGCGTTTAGGTACATTCTCGCAATAATTTTATTGCGGCAATGATTTTGCAACAACTAAAACACGACGAAAATCGAATTTTCCGGGGCAGACAAGCGTGAACAGTTTTCCAACGCCCAATCGCGATTCAATTACAAAACAATCGAACGCGTTAATCGAACTTTTAATTATCCGTCGTCGGCTTCAATCACCGCAATCAGTCATCCAGCGGAATTCCAACAGAATCCGCAACGACGAAATCGTTTCGTAAACCCGCTGTATATCGAGGAAGCTCGAGTCCACGCTAATATCAATCCCCGAAGGATCCAGGGATCCCACTCACGGGTTATTTCGAGCTTGGCGAAACAAACTGATCCGCAGTGTTCGGCGAAGTCAGTTGTGGTATTCGAGGATATATCCCTCCCCGATTCATTCATAAGGAGAAAACCAACGAGGGAAACGAACAAACGATCAGTGACAAGGACGAGGAGAGTAGAAAATAAAAGGATGAAAGAATGAAACGGAAGGAAAGACCGAGAAAGACGTAGAATTCAGGTTCCCAACCTGAACAACCACCGAAACTATCGCCTAAGTGTTTTCTTATTTTCTATATTTTTAATTGAAGACATTAATTACAACGTTAAAATACTAAACACAACGTCAGAACTACGTTCTGAAACAGCTTATTTTATATATGTACAGTTTCTTTCTCATCGGATAATGAAAATGGCGCTGGAAATGGAATTACAGTTCGATTTTGTCATACGAATCAGTGTCTTTGAAGAATTTGTCTCAATTAATATATATTAATTATTATATATAATATATTAATTAATATTCGTATATGATATAATTATATACGATCACTGGACATTAGTACCTGTTTTGTATCTTCGCTTTTTCTATGTTCGTATGATACGTGAATCTTTTCTGTTTTGAACTTTTGTTAAAAATGTATAATCTTTGCACGATCGATTCTTGATCGGTACATTTTCTTTTCCTTCGAAATTTCTTACTGTTATGAAAAAAGAGATATTTATTAGTAAATATTGATAACTTGCGCCTCGTTACATTTAACTGTTACTCCACTTGGATTTTGTAGAATGCTGCGAGAAGATGTCTACGTAATTTTTTCCCCTTGATTGGTCGCAGGTTGCATATTTCGTTATTACAAAATGGTTGGGAGACACTGGTACAGAGAAAGAAAGGAAGAAATAATAGTGGCGATAAAAAGGAGAGAATCACGATGAAAAAAAAGAGAGGAAAGACTGGAATTGAGAAGGGTGAAGGAGGAAGGAAGTTCAAAAGAGAAACGAGGAGAGAGGGAGAGAGATAAAGACGAAGAACATTCGCCGGATAATCCTTGGAGTCATTTGTCTGCCGGCTGTTGAGACACTCATTTGTTCGCGGCGCCATGACAGATGACAATGAAGTAGAGATCGTGCCACGGTCATAGAGCGTGGGGTTGGGGAAAAAGGAGGAGAAAGGGGGGCGGGGGGGAAAGGTACAGCAGTAGCCCAGCATCCAGCAGTTAGGATGCAGATCTGTTTGCCATTCGTGCCTCAATTATTCTCGGATCATCGCTGTGTATCGGCTTGGGGAACAATCGAATCGCGGTATTTGTGTCGCCGTGATTAAAAACATAATGTTCCGTTTCACGAGCGATAAGTCGCTCTTCAGATGCAGAGAAAGAGAGAGAGAGAGAGAGAGAGAGAAAGAGGGGACAGAAACGTATCGAATGTATAGAACTTTTGCCATGAAACTCTTTTTATAGAGAATATTATTTACACGCGTATTTATGTATCTTTTTTTTTTTTATAGATGCGCGAGTGATTTATCACTGAAATTTATTATCCAGTTGAATCAAGTGGATAATATAGAAAAGATCGTATCGTTCTTGATCTTATAATCTCTTGAAGAGACGATATAAAACAAATTTATCGACGCCCGGTTGAAGCGAAGAAGCGGCGATCGGAGGTTTGCGAAGGGGAATGAAACTAACTGCTGGCACATTTAGCGACTTCCGGGCCACGTCGGAAGTTCCGTCATATTTGTCACCACGACGTTATTAATGGCAAGTTTTTATTGTTTTAGCAAAGTCGGGGGGAGGGGAGGAAGTGGACGAAGGAGAGAGCAGAAGAACAATCGTTTCTCTTCCTCGGCTATTAAATTTAATAGCCAATATCTCCCCTATTGCTAGCACTTTTTCTACCTTTTATCTCCTCGCGATTCTTTCGAGATAAGTAAACATTGATTCGTCTGATTCACTCCATCAATATTTCTTAATTCGTTGATCCTCACTCTGTTTTCCTCCTAAGGGAGACTGATTGCGATGTTAATTTTCTGTCGACAATCTTACAATTTTCATTTTAATCGTATCGAGTTCGACGAAGAGAATACATACGAATTATATAATCGAAAGAGAAAGAGAAAGAGAAAGATTTTTATAGAAAATAAACATTAGCGTTAGAATGTATGTTACACGTAATGAGACATTTAAAGACGTAAGAGTAAAATACCTTAATAATTCACAACCATTTCATAATCTGTAATTGCAATATGGCCATTAAATGGCGTCTTCGTGTACCGTCGTCGTTCGTGAGATATCGCAGCATGTCGGACAACGAGGAAAGATTGTAACGACATCCTGTACAAGATACCTGTACGATCTGCACAAACCAAAGACGACGACGAAGAAGTCACTTGCACAGCTCGGTGCTTCTCGAAACTGTTCGCCCGTTCCAGGTAGAGTCTTATTAATAAACCGATTCATCGCGCTTCGCTTCTCGTCCTCGTTTGCTGACCACGAAATTGTACGTGAGTACACTGATCGCGTTGCATCGCACAAACCGCGCCGGCGAGATGCCTCGTCGCCTTGACTTCAAAACGGCGACCTTCGTACTTCACCGACCGCGATCGTCTACGTAACATTGCCGATTTGATTTCTTTTCCTTTTTTTTTTCTTTTTCTTTTCTCTCCACCACATGCATCGCGATAACGGCCCCCGTTATTTTTGAACTTGATAGCCGAGGAACTTTTCATCGCGTGAAAAGATAGCAATAAAGTAGCTAATCAAGGTCAACACGTGGAAAGTATTTTTACAGCGAAGGATATCAAGCGCAACTCTGTTTAGTCGTGTGTATCGTCGTGATTTCGATAAAGTGGTTTTAAAAGACTCGTCTTCTTTTTTTTTTTTTTTTTCTTTTCGAAGGGTAATTAAGAGCGAGCGCCGTTCATTGAAGCCAATTACCAGGAAGCTTTCTTCGTTTTATTTCGCCTTTTTCTACGGGGAGTAAAAAATTATACGAGGATGACAATTAAAAATGGAACTTTATCTCGCAATTTTCACATCGCGATAGCGATAGTCAAGCCTGACGATAGAATTCTATTGGGACTTCCAGTTGGCAACAAGGTTATTTCAGTTGGTTTAGCGTCGGAAGTGATGCCTATAGAAAGTTTATACGTCGTAGATTTTGACACGAAAGACGACCAAACCGAAGCGTCACGTAACGCGAAACCGCGGCGTGATTCGCGAGGTGGATTCGCGCGGAGAAGGAAGGCGAAGGAAGGCAAAAGAAGCCGGGTGTCGGGTCGCATCTAGCATCTGCAATCAACACTCGCATGGTTCCAGTGACGTCACGTCCGGTCATCTGCCGAATAAGCAGAAACCGCGTAACCGGACTCTATCTGCGGGAAACGATTTCGAAAAAGAAGAAGCCGTCGACGACGAGCACGTGTAGCGCCGAAACGAACACGAAGGCGTGGCTAAACTTCGTGATCCAGCTGAAATCGCTGTCTGCAGATAACTGATTTACATACTTGTGTATTTACAGCCTTCGGTTTAGCAATGATAGTAATCATTTTTATACGTATGTTATCTTTTATGTATATTCTTCTGCAAGAAATTGGAGGAAAGCGGTTTCGTTCTCAAAGATCCAAGTGAAATGTAATGAAAGGATTTCGAAATAATATATGAAGATATTAAATATTCCACTATTATTATCAATTGTACGTGTGGTAGAGGGGAGAGTGTTAGAAGGGATGGGAGGAATAGAAAAATAAAAAAAAAGAAAAGAAGCAGCAAAACAAAACCAAAGAAAAGGCAATATTAGAAGTAGAAGATAATTTTTTTTTACTTTTTTTACTTTCAGTCACCTACAAGAAGACTACAAGAAGATTTGTAAGGGCACCAAAGTGTAGAAGGGTAAGATTATAAGATTGTACGATAGAGCACAGAATAAATTAGTTCCATAAGATGTAGACATTAAGAATTAGTTATAGAGTTATAGAAAGTAAGAAAGAAAGATGTAAAGAGATACACATTGTAAATTGGAAGGATTATAATAAATAATATTAATTAGTGTGTATCTATATCCTCTGTCACGTAGAAACGATATATAATTCTGAGTGAAGTCCAACGTAAAAAAATTTATATTATCGTATACTGACGTGTCAGTCCGTACATCACCATCTACCCAAAATTTTGCGAACGTTCAAAGGTTAAAATTAAATCGCGCACAGAAGAACTAGCGTAGCTAACGATCAGATAGGGCAGGGCAACGAGATTGGTGAATCAAGGCAGGCCAAAGGGTTGAGAACAAACATCGTTAATTTGCACGCAGAATCCCGCTGGCGGAGGCCGAAAGGTCAACATTAACCGCGGTATGTATATGCTCGCCAAACACTCTGCACTGGACCGTGTAATCCAGATTCGCGGTGCGCCGAAGTTTCGGTTGCCGGCGCTACCCTGCGCCCTTTCAGCCGACCTAATTGTCTAATTGGCAAATAAATCCCATTGTTTTCCAATAGCGAGATCGATACGCGGCGCCGCGGGGAAGACTTTTGTGCCCAGCCGATGGAAATCGAGCGACGACATAGCCGAGCTATATAGTTTTTCGGGGACCACTAGACACACTAGTGGTCGACACGGTGGGTGTCGGTCGCTTTTGTGTACCAATCTTTTCGAGAACTCTTTTTGTACCGCACTCTGACCCTTGCGTATGTGGAGAAACAAAAGATCGACAAGACTTGTAAAGATCGTTTCGGAAGAAGCGGGAACTGACTTTTTTCTATCGAGTTTTCCGAGAAACTCGAGCGTGAAATATTTAATTTCAATCGCGTGTTGTGAAGAGAAATGTAATAAATAAAATGAATAGAGGTTCACGCAGAAAAGGATTTTTGCTGATGGTAAAAAGTTCTATAATTGTTTTAAGATATTCATTTTGTTGTATACTTTAATTTCGCAATTTTTTGCAATCATATGTACGCGTATCGTATCGATAACTGCATTAAAATTATAAGATTTAAAAATATAATGGAATAACGTTATTTATAAAATATGACTCCGTCATATTAAAGCTGTATGCTTGTTTTATTAGATCGATTATTTGTTTCTATATTACCATGAATAAATATTTCATAAATACATAATTTACAAGGATTTCTGGTGGTTAGAATCACGTGGACGAGAAACAGTAGGGTGACGAACTGGGAGGAGACTGAGTTGAACGATTATCAGACAATAGTTTGTTAGTGGGGTTCACCTGCTGTATTGTTCTCTGGAAATGTGGATTCAGCTTCAGTCCGCAATCGTTCCTTCTCCACGTTTAAATTGTTCGGTATGTACAACCAATAGTCCCTTACGTGCATGCTAATTAAATTTAGTTATACTTAAAGGTTTAATCGTTTAATTACATTCCCTTTTAACAATATTTGAATTCTAAATTAGTTTAAAATTAATAGCTCCACGATATGGTAAGCCTCTGTATATATTAATAATCACATACTCCTTCCAAAGAGTAGCTTACTTGCGTATTTAAAATATAACTTTCAGTTTCTTTATTTAAAGAATGAACGATTAAAAAATTATATTTTTAAAATTGTTCGTAGAAATTCATTTAAATTATTTTGTACTACGTCCTGTCACTAACCATAACTAAAATATACAAACAAAGAGGAAGAATACATCGGTTTTTTAAATATATTTCAATTTGAAAAATAGTCATCAACCTAATCATATACGATGTTTGCGTTTTCTGCATACTATGCAGAATATTTACATACATATTGAATTGTGCTTCCGTACATATATGCAGAAACTCGTATATATTTCTTTAATGGCTGAACATTCATATTATGTTATATAAATTGTTTTGTATATTCATATATTCGTATCGACTTGATTAAAGCTATTGATAAAGCAAAATACACATAATCAGATTTCTATCACATCATATTAGTATGTTTCCAAGGCCTCAACGGTGCGATCATTAGCAAAGTAAATTTAAAATTCCAATTCCATATTATATCAATAATCAATAATAAGCCACTTATCTGTAATGTTTTCTATCTGTTTTGTAAGAATCGGATTTCTCAATCGTATTTTTAACTCGAGTTTTCCACCCGTTGGCTTTCTTCCATCCATCAACTATAATAATACAGTATTTCTTTAATATGAAAATACTCGTATAAAAAATAATAATACTTGACAAATGATCTATTTACCGGAAACGAATCATGAAGTTCACATTGAGTTTCTAAGGGTTGTAATTTCACTGTCACTGTACCCAAAAGACTGTCACTTCTAAAAAACCCTCTGCAAAATAAAAAAAATATAGATTATATTCAGAGTGAAAAAACATATGAATATTTAGTACAATATACAATTTAAAACTACAATATTTATAAATACAAGATTTACGTTGTTACAGCCTGCTCGTACAATATAAGCATCAGACAAATACGATATTTTATAACATCAATTAATTTTAATACAATCAGAACATTTCTAATTAATTTATATTTCTGTTATTTTAAATATTTGCTGAATGATGCGTTAGATTTATAATTTTTTGAAAAGAAAAAAGAAAATAAAGCAATGGTGCATTATTTCTGGTTCATAATTTAGAAGCTTGCTGCTTTGCAAAAGTACAAAATTTTCATACCTTGGGTTAGTGCAACACAGGATGGAATTCAGCGAGCATCTGTAAGCAACGTACTAATCTATTTATTATTTTTAATATTATATATCAATTATATATAGCATCATACTATAGCATCATAATATTATTATCAAGGTTTCTAATTGGAAAATTACAATATTTGTATAAATACAAATATTGACTATACACATAAAAATTGTTATAAAACTATGAAGTAAGTTATATATTATATCGCTTTTTTCATTACCCCTTAGCCCAAACTTGACATTTTAATGCATGTCTTTTGAACGCTCGTTGACATTGCCTTGACGAGCGATCTATTCCACTTAATGAAAATACTGCATCATATTCTGGATTACATGCTCCTTTAATGGTACTCGTTCTATCTGACGGAGGACTATCTGAAGGATAAGGAAATTCGAATATGACATAAGTATCTGCATCTTTCGAATAGTTCACTCCCCTAATTATTGAAATTTCTATGTCACTATCACTCAAATCTGTACAACTCCTGTAAAACAAAATAGTTATTTAATTACAATGTAATAATTCTATTAAGTAGTAGAAAATATTATTATACTAACTGAACTATAGTATGAGTTCTTATTTCATAATGATGTTGTGGCGGTGACAGTGCATCACGTTTTCGAACTATTAGCATATCTAAATCTCGTTTGTAATTCAGTGCAAGACGTTCCCATTTATTATATCCAGATACATCTCCTAATGCTTTACAATGATCTCTCGTACATAAACACCACTATAATAAAATTGTATAATTTATAATACAAATTTATAAAATAAATAATTAGCTTACCTTAATTTGTTTCATTAATTGTGACTCAAGATTCTCATAAATTTCTTCGTCCGTTCCAGTTACTTTTTCGGAACAATCTTCGGTATCAATTACTGTAAAACTATCGTCCAATAGACCTATTATACTATTCGCATTGAGTTCAGTTTTTGCTCGTGGAGATAATGGTATAGAATTCATGTCAACTGGTAAGCCAGCTTTACTAGCTTCAATCAATTGATCTAGTCCTTTTGCTTGTCGTAAAAAAGTACGGGCTAATTCTATATCTCCCTCTTTCTTTGCGTTAAGAGCAGCCTGTTTTAATTCATGCTGACGATGCTGCAATAGAGCTAGTTGTTTTTCCGCACGCGACGTCTTTTGATTTTGTTTCTTTCCTATCATTTAAAACATACATTAACTTCCTATTATTTAAAACATACATGAATTATTTTGATAGTAATAAATTACTAAGTAAGTCATAAAATTCCCACAGGTACCTGTTTGTGCTCTCGGCGGAGGGACAGGAGCTTTGGAATCTGAAGAAAGTTTATCTTCAGGCGACTTGGATTCTTGAGTTGGCAGTATTGAATCTGACGGTGTTTCGTTTTTTTCTACAGGTGGATCTGGTACAGATTGTGAAGGAACTGAAAGGGGTTCGAAACCAGGTATAGTAGGTAACTCATCTATAGGAACAGGTTTTCCACGAGCATGTAATTTAATAGCATCTTCGAATTGTTTGCATATGCGGCCGTATCTACGAGCTTTAGACGAGTTTCCTTCATTTTCTGCAGTTGTTTTTATCTTTTTACATGCCTCAAGACGTTCTTTCAAAGCAGTCCCCAAATTTTCTGAACTTGGTGGTTTTACTTCTGTTTTTCCAATAAATCAAGATTAAAAGTATAAATAATTTTTAACAAATTTAATTCATTTCGTCTATTTAATGTCATTTTTGTAATATTACATGTGCAAAATAAATTATTAAATAACTATCAAAATTTACCTGCTAAGGTAGAGTCTGTGGAAGATTTTCCCTGTGTTTCACTTTCTGTCTTTTCTGGTTTCTCACTTGATGGTGTAGCAGTACTTGATCCAGGTAGATTTGGAGAAGCTGGCATATCTGATAAATCAACCGTTTCTCCCGCATTTACTGCTGTGATAACTATATCAAAATGTTTTGCTATATTTAGATATTGGAGAGCCTCTTTCATGTTACCAGCTCTTTTCCATGCTATTGCCGCTACTTTATATTCTTGCTGTCTATCTTTCAATAATTTTAATGCTTCTTCATCTATACTTTTTGTTGGAGCAGGCTCTTCAACAGTATTATTTTCTATGGAAGTAGTAGTATCAGTCACAACTGTATTGTTAGTTTCTATTAAAAAACACAATATTATATGATTGGAAAAGCTATTCATTACAAAACAAGGAACACTATCTGTACTATAGAATACCTGTAGATTCTGTTTTACTAGGTACTTCTGCAGTTGTTTCAGCAGTAGCCTGTGGTGGTAATTCCGGTGGTATATCACTTTCATTAATAAATTTTCCAGCCTGAGCATTACTCAATAATTCTTTAAGTGTTTTAATACCCCTATTAAACCTTCTTGCTCGGCTTAATTCACTTGTTTCTTTTGCCTTTTTTTCGGCAATTTCATAAAGTTGTAATCTTTCTCGTAACAATTTAATTATATTTTCATTATCATTTTGCGTTTCAGGTTGTTCCGTACTTTCAGCTACTAAATTCCCCTCTTTGTCTGGAGACACAGATTCAGAAGTTTCCTCACCTGTGATCATCTTAAGTTCACTCTAACATTATGTAAAATATTAAAAGTGATATTAATATAATTATATCATTATTAAAATTAAGAAAATAAACAATAAAATCTATACCAATAATTCTGGATCATCATCTCCATCGGACATCTCTTCTTCAAGATTAATATCTCTCATGCTTTCAGCTACCATTGCATCTAAATTTTCTTTAGAAACTGGTTTACGAGAAGCTATAGAAATGTTGAAACACATTATAATTGTTCTCAGAATATACTCAATTATATGGTTAATTAATAGTAAACGTATGAATAATGTTTACTTACCAGTACGTCTAGATTTTTCATTGTCATCACCAGCAGTTAAAGCTGCTAATTCAGCTTCTAAGTCATCATCATCATCATCATCATCATTATCATTCATAAAATTATTACCTGTGTCATCTAAAGTCTCTGGCACGTCGAAAATTCCATACTGTTAAAGAACATTGTATTTAACAGAATATAACCAAACGAAAAATAAGGTTATAAATATAACGAGATACTACCTGTGCAAGACTACCAGCAGGTCTTGTCTGTCGTTTTGTATTTTCTTTCTTTCTAAACATATTATTTCACGTAATACACGCTATCAAGTCTTCAAAATTAATAAAATAGCACTTAAACGACTAAAACACATTACAAGTACAAAGCGTATCGCTGTAGTAAAACAATGTTCTATACTAGCGTGCGTCATCCATCATAATCATACAATTCACAGAAGCTACATTACTATCATTTCAATATTCACGCATGACGCAAATATATATATTTCTCAGTAGTACAAACGATTTTGATATCTCAAATACATATACGTGGATAAATTTATATTTACACATGTAGTTCAAATGACAAACATTGCTTCTAGAACTACAATTTGTTTAAGGAATTATTCTAAACATCCATCTAAAAGACTTCACATCGAAAAATTATATAGAAAATGTATCAATTTCTTTAAATATATTAAATGTATCAAGTTTCACTTACTTCAAAGACTATGATATAATATTTTATAATATACTTTGTGGTGTATATCTTTCACTTTTTGTTCCAGAAGATAACTTAACAATGACAGTTTATTCGTATAGTATTATGTCACAATATCATCTTAAATTCAAAACAATGCGTAATAACATAAAAGAAAAATATAAAGATCTTATTTAATCAGATTAATAATTTTAGTACTTTACTTAATACAGCTATTATTTGCTGAGAATGCAAATTATTCGTATTATTAGGAAATCGTCATTATCAAAACTTCAAAAAATGAAATTTAAATGGATCAATTTGTTGATCAAATATTCGATAGTTATTCGAAGTCGATATCACTTAGAGTTTAGTAATTTTTTTCATGGTTTGCAGCAAACTTCTCACCAGCTAGTCATATGATCGACACGAAAAAGGGCGAGTCCGATTTCAACTTTGACGTATCCGTATTTCAATTGAAGTAATTGTGAAGTAAACGGCTAAAATGAAGGGTTGTATGTTCAACATCGATGGAGGATATTTAGAAGGTCTTTGTCGCGGATTCAAGTGTGGAATTCTTCAACAAAGTGATTATCTTAATCTTGTACAATGTGAAACTCTTGAAGGTAAATTCTACTCGACATTTACATTTCAGTTTCGCAAACATCATAAATATATGAAACTTAAAAGATAAATAATATCAACTTATTATTAATTTTTATTATTATCAATTGCTTTCTACTGTTTCCACAGATCTGAAACTACATTTGGCTGGTACAGATTATGGTAGTTTTTTAGCTAACGAGCCATCACCACTGTCTGTCAGTGTGATTGATGATAAATTAAGAGAAAAGCTCGTTGTGGAATTTCAACACATGCGCAACCATTCTGTAGAACCGCTATCACAATTTTTAGATTTCATTACTTATAGTTACATGATCGATAACATTATTTTACTAATTACTGGAACTTTGCATCAAAGACCAATTTCAGAACTGATTCCTAAGTGCCACCCTCTTGGCAGTTTTGAACAAATGGAAGCCATTCATGTAGCAGCTACGCCTGCTGAGCTTTATAATGCTGTTTTAGTGGATACTCCTTTAGGTATGAGACCTTAAAACTTTTGTGTAAAATATTAAAGTCATAAAATAGTTTGTAATGTTTCGTCACATTTTTATTTGTACATCAACTTCTATTAAATTAAAGATTCAATAAAATTTTAGCACCTTTCTTTGTGGATTGTATTTCTGAACAAGACTTAGATGAAATGAATATAGAAATAATCAGAAATACGTTATATAAAGCTTATTTGGAAGCATTTTATAAGTTTTGTAAAGAAATTGGTGGAACAACTGCAGATACAATGTGTGAAATACTTGCGGTATTAGATTTTCTAAAATTAGTATTTTGTACAATCAATAAAGTAACTTACTAAGTGAACATTATTTGTACAGTTTGAGGCTGATAGACGAGCGATTATTATAACTATTAATTCATTTGGAACCGAATTGGGTAAAGATGATAGAGCAAAATTGTATCCACGTTGCGGTAAATTGAATCCAGATGGATTAGCTGCACTGGCAAGGGCTGACGATTATGAACAAGTCAAAGCTGTAGCTGAATATTTTGTTGTATGTATATATTTCAAAAATAAGAACTTATACTTACTAAAAAATTTATATCTCTGAATATACATTTGTATGCATATATTAATTTTATATTTGAATTTTTTTTCAGGAATATAGTGCCCTATTTGAAGGTGCAGGTAATAATCCTGGTGATAAAACTTTAGAAGATAAATTTTTTGAACATGAGGTAAATTTAACATTATCACAAAAGTTAATGTAGCAAAATATTTTTAAATCTTACTAATTCTAATATTATTACCACAGGTTCGCTTAAACGTTCATGCTTTCCTTCAACAATTTCACTTTGGAGTATTTTACAGTTATCTTAAATTAAAGGAACAAGAATGTCGTAATATCGTATGGATAGCGGAATGTGTTGCACAAAAGCATCGTGCTAAAATAGATAATTACATTCCAATTTTTTAATAAGTTTCTCGATATTTTGTTGATCATTTATATTTAACTATGCAACAATATCATACACAAAAAGTAAACTTTCATTTTTATTTTTATTTCTTGATTGTGAATAACTAATAATTCTACAGTATTTCATATCATGGATAAAAAGGAAGTGTAAACTGATAAAAATATATAATTATTTAATTAATTAAAATAAAAATGACTATGTGTCTAGCCAAACTGAACAGATGTAATTATTTAGTATTATTGTCATACATAACAAGAGTTTACATCATATAAATGTACATAGTGTATTTTATTGTAGATCAGTATATATTATGTTTGATATTATCTGATGTTGTAATTATTGACTCTATTGTAATATAAAATAATATATAATGCATTCCATAGGTTTAAAATATTAAATTCAAATAATAATATCTTATAAATTAAATTTTTCCATTTTTCTCCATTTTTATCCCCAAAAAATATTAGAACATTACAAATAACAGAACATACAAAGCACACGATACTTTTATAGTCAATTATATATCAAAAACAAATATTTAATTAATCAATTAAGTGTGTCCATACAATGAAAAATATAAATAACTTAATGAGGAAATACTTACAATACTTTTATTTCTAAAAGTTTATACTTTGCATGTTTCTTCTAATAACAAAGTAGTATTTAATTTAATAATATTATGAGCATATAATAACGTTCAAATTCACTCATTGTATGATTCAAATCAATTATTATAAAACTTACAAACATACACATGCAAAATTATAAAATTTTATACTTGAAATTAACTCAAAGTAGTTTAGTAACACAAATGAATATAAATTTGTAGTACATGAAACATGTCTATAGTATATACCATTTATATAAACAAGATTTTTTATGAAATTCTTAGTACGTTTACTCTAGACCAGCCTTTCATTTTATAAATAATTTAAGATTATCCAATATTTTTTGCTATTAGAAAATGCGATACTGAAATTGAATAAGTTTCAAAATATAAAATCCTAACGAAAAATATTTGTGAAATATATATATATATATATATATATATTTCTCTAAAACACTTTTGTAACATGTTCATGTATATATGTATATATGTACATATATATCCATAAATGCAATTTATCATAGAAAAATATAATTTCTAAAAAAGTAGTAAGATAAAACTTAATTTTCAAGTGAAGGAATTACAAAGAAATCATAGATATAATCAGAATTATTAATTCTGAATTTTGTAATTCTTTCACTAATAATTAATATTTTATAATACTACAGTTTCAGATAAAGTATTCTTAGTATTACTGGAATAAACTTTCATTATTTTCCGTTAGGATATTTTTCAAATTTATTATAAAAAGACGATAAAACTTCTTATCTTCTACAAATTCGTTCACTTTCACACTGCATTCTTTCTCCATCTGATTCTCGATTTCTTGTTGGATGCACTTCTTCATTCATAGAATTCACATTAGCAACTGGGGGTGGTGGAGTATTATTAATGTGTTTCATGTTTGCAGTTGGAGACGGTGGCTTTGTTGTTCTGATTGGATTTGCATTAACATTATTAACTAAATTTGGAGGCTGATAAGTCGCTAAACTTTTTAATCCCAGTACTTCTGGATTTTCTTTCCAAAAACGATCTCCAATAATGTCATCTACCAACGGAACTACTGCAGGTTTTAATCTACCTGTTCCATCAGGTACTAATTTCCTTATAAGTGTAGTACCCTTTCGGAAAAGCGGTGGCTCATTGTTGTAATTTATACCAAATTCTTGAAACAGTAATTCATTCTTATGTGATGCCAATGTACCTCTAAGCTTTCCTTCGGCCTAAAAATTCAAATAAGAAAATAATTTTTAAAAATAATTCAAAATCACTAATATATATGTAATTATTTACATATATGTATTATTATTGTTTTATTGATATACATTTCATTTAGAGTACACTTTCATTATAATATATATATAAAAGAGTTTACCTGAGATGGAGTTAGCTTTCCTTTTAGTACCAGATTCCAAAAACAGGTATTATATAAATTGTTTACATGAGCATCAGCTTGTCGCCATGCTAAGTAATCCCTTAAATTTTTATCCGTGGGATACAATATAACACGAGCATCAAAAGATGGTGGATAATATAATTCCTTGCCTTGGAAGAAACGAGGCCAGTGATAAACATATGATGATGCAAAGAGAGAATTCACATTTGTCATTAATTTTGAAGCTAAAATATTATAAAAAAAGTGTTTTAAACAACATACTTATATTATTAAACATTGTAGAAACACAAATATTATATAATATATAAATAATAAGAATTGTATAAAAACTAATATACACGTACATACACATACACACATACATACATACATGTTCCCATATCATTTATTTATCATATTATATATTACTTTTTAAAATATATATACCTCTTCGTTTGTAAAGTTCAGTATCTTTTCGAAAGACAAAAGAATATTCGTCGCTTTGACCAAAGCCTATTATGATTTCTTTAAAATCTTCCATAACCGTAATAGCCGCGCGATTCATTAATTGCAAAGCAGCTACATCGTTCGGCTTATTAAATTGATGTGCTTCACAAAACTTCGAAAAGTTTCTTCCATCTATTCTAACCACAATCCAACAATTTGGCAAACAACAGTCATCACGTTCAAATTCTTTTACATATTCAAATTTACTTTTAGCCATTCTCGTCAAACTTATGTGCCGGCTATTGACCACTTGTTTGACCAAGCTAATGATTTTCAGGATGTTACTTCCTGTTGTCTGAAAATACAACATTTCCTGAAACCGCTGACTGTTGAGTGTTGAAGTCTCCACTGTCGAGTTCGGATTGGTTTTAAATGTATACTATTTATTTCATAAGGCACTTATTAAAAAGCTATCATTGACTTTCTATGACGAAATAAATTAACGTTTGATACATACATTTTCTAAATAACCACGTGTGCATTTATTGGTTAGGTGCAATTGGCTTGCTAGGCATAGATATCAAGATTGTAACAAATTTTTACGAATAAAAAAATACTTGATAAAAGAATTTATTTGAACGTTCAATATTTTTATGGAAATATATATTTATGTGGATATGTACATAAATAAATTCAAATATATAGAAACAGAGAAATCGCAGTAAAATGGATTTACATGAGCACTATATGCACATTTCAACAATAGATTTCTCAATCTTAGAATTATTAGAAATTGCATTTAAAGATGATCCATTTTTATTACTACATCGGCTGAGCAAATATTACAATACCGAAATACAAAAAAATAATTTACATGCGAAACAATTATATACATTTCAAATGATATTATGTTATGAATATCAGCTTGTATTTCATACAAAAAAGAAACATTCCAAAAGAGTGCCGAATGATTTATGTCTTAAAACTATAGAAAATACTCTACTTGGAAAAAAGAAATTACAAAATTTTACTGAATATCCAATTTTATATGATATTTTAATTTTACAATTAACACTTTACTGCGATGCGTCCTGTATTGAACAACATTTGATAAATTTTCGGCAATTAAATGCTGATATTTTGAACAGTAATGAAAGTAAAATTTTTTATATGAAAATACTAGAATGTTTTTTAGATTCCTTACAATTAAAAAAATTTTTATATAACAACTTGGAATTAAATCTACGGAAATGTTTAAATTCAATGTACCTAGAAGATATAGTATCGTGGTTACAAATGAAAGAAAATAAAGAATGGCGAGTATTTGCTTCAATTTTGCCAAAATTAATAAATATCTTTGATTTTGAGAATGTTTTCCCAACCATATGGGATTGTACTTTAAGTAAATTAGATGATTTAAAAGATTTATTATGTGCGCTCAGCATTTTAACAGATACATGTTTTTCATTGAACTTAAAAAGTAAAAGTCTCATATATTATGATATATGTTATAAAGAACAACTGTGGTTGTCAATAATACAGAGCTTAAAGTCTCCAATACAGCAGCATCGTAAACAAGCATTATTTATAATGAAACAAATAATTGATTTCATGAATACTATAAATGGAAATGATTTAAAATCAGAAGAATGTACAATTATTCCTTTTGTATGCAATCAATCAATCAAAACAGAAATATCAATAAATGATATTAAACAAAATTATTTCTTGATATTAGAGGCACTGGAAGAAAAACAGCATCATCTTGTATTGCCTGCATTAACTCATTTACCAATTTTGATAAAAGGAAATGAAGAACATGCTGCATGTAACAATTGCTTTAACAGTATTTGGTTACAATTAATTTTTGAGAGAATATTATTGCACGATAATAATGCTATAGTAAAACAAGGTGTATTATATGTTTGTAAATTACCTATTCTTTTGCAAGATGATCAGTTTACAAAATTATTTATACATATTTTAAATAATACCTTTTTATATGAATGTCAAACTCAACAAGAACCAAAAATATTAAATGATATTGTGACATTATTCGTGCATGCAAAAAAGAACCAAGCTGAATTTTTGAATAAAGTTCTTCAAATAATGAATGAAGACACTTGGGCTCCTATACCAATGTTTTATATGATGAAAATTTTAAGGACAGTTTCAAGTCAAGTAATGAACTATTGGGCAGATGAACAATTGAATCTAATTAAATCCTTAATCCAGAAAAATTTAAGTATGCATTCTCGTCCATTAAGGATCGCATCTCAAATTGAACTTTTAAAAACAATTTCTCTCTCTGTAAAGAAGATTAATGATTTGAAAATTGCAATGAATATGTTGTTAGAATTTTCTTTAGAAGATATTATTGTACAAAATTCATTTTCATGGAATATTATGATATCATGGCTGAAAGAAATATTAGAGGAAACAGATGCAATAAATTTTATTAAATTTGTTTGTGAAGAATATTCTTATCAAAATTTGCATGCCAAATTCAGTCCTGCAAAATTTGCTGTTATTATTATTATATTTTATGATGCAGGTCTAATATTACAGCAAAAAGCATGTCCTGTAGGAAAAGTACTCGATAATTGGATGTCATCACTTAAAGGGATAGATATGAGACCCTATGCAAATGTTACACATATCTTTTATATAGTAGAATTTATGTCACATTTGCTTAATTTAAATGGCATAGAAACTCAAAGAAGTGTTATACAATTGTTGAATTTGTATATTAATGATGCATTAAAATTTTTACTTAAATATAATAAAAGCATACCATATAAATTTAATTATGAACAATTAAACAGATATCTCACTGCAATTGTTTTAATTCTTAATAATGGAACAAAACTTTTAATGGAAAAGGAAATTTTATGTTATGTTAAAAAGTTTAAAAATGAAAGTATAACTATTATTCAAAATATAAAACAATATACAAACATGCACTATGTATATGCTTTGTATATTTTATATTATACTCAAAATATTTTGTGCACAAACCATACTTCATTTTATTTACAACCATTGTTAAATATATGTGATATTCACATATCTAATAATGATGAAACAGAAGTGGAATTTACTAAAAGAAAGATAGCCTCCGATTGTTATATATTATTTGCAAGGCTTTTAAATCAATTTCTATCAAAAGTAGAGATAGAATTATGGCCCCAAAATATTGACTGGTTTAAAAGTATTTCCTATTTATATGAAATGGGAGGAAATGAAATTGTTCCAGAAATAGCACTAATATTAAAAACAATGATTAATAAGGAAACAATAGGAGATCTAGGAAGTAAATCAAATTTAATATCTATTTTTACTACATGTTGGAGAACTACTTTGTTGAGTACAAAAAATAAGATTTTCTTCCTAACAATAAAAAATCTTATAGGAGTTATTATAAACAATAATTTTTTGGTATTGCCCAATATTAAAAATTTTGTAGACAGTGTAAGATAGTAATATATTTTTCAGAATATAGATATCTTCTTGTATATTAAAATATCTTCAATTTTTAGTTTCTTAATCAATTACTTGAAGAAGGTAATAATGTGCCAAAATTGAAAAAATTTTTACTAAATGAAATGAAATTATTAAATACATGCTACATAAAGGATCTGCAAGAATCATTGTTAGCGTGTCTTCTTCATGGACATATATTTCGAAAAGATAAACAAATAGAAGATCAAGTTTATTTGTACATTACAAAAAATTATCACACTTCTTATCCACAACATATACAAATAATGTAGGTATTTTTATAATCTTTAATATTATTATATTATTATACATTTATTTCTTATTAATATCTTTTTTCTTAATAGAGATCATAATAATGATGTTAATATTAGAGCAGCTTCTGTTATTTTACTACATCAAATAATTAATCAAGATAAAAAATTTGGAACAATATTTCTTCCAAATGTCCTACAGAAATTGGAAAAGTACAAAAATAAAAGATATTTTAATCACTCTTATATACATAAAATAAAGCATCGAATTATGCAAATTTTGTTAATAATACAGCCAATTTTAACTAAGGTAATAAAATATATTTTCATTTGAAATTACACATTATTTTATTTTAAGTAGCAGTAATAAATATAGCAAAAGAAAACTAATTTTGTCTACAGAATGATAATGTGATATTGCAAGAATTTCTTTGCAATTTAATGCTTTTGGAAAGTAATCAACATAGTGTTCGAATAATGCAAGAATGGTTATTAATAAGAATTTTTGTGGAAAATATAGATTTTCATGATAAAATCTGGGAATTTTTTGAGAAGGTACTCAAACAAGTTTTTTTTTTGTGTTATGAAATTGGTTTTTTATAAATGTAAGAAAGATCTAATTAATGTAATATATATAGGCTATTACAGCACGTCCAGGGTGTGTTAGTTCCATAATGTGTATTATTTATCATGTTTCAAAACTCCTATCTAAAGATTCCCAAAGCAATTTTATTTTAATAGCATTCAATTACATTCCACGTTGTTGTTTGGGACAACAATATAATATGCGTCTTTATGCTCAGGTAAATTATATTACATCTATTTATAGAATAATAGTAAGTTACAATAATATTATTTATTCATAATAGATTATCTTTGTAAAATTATATAAAATGTTGGAAGAATTAAATTCTGATCATGTTACATTACAATACAAAGGGTTGTACAATGCTACAATTGCAAGTTTAAAAGATGGATTAGCAAGAAATTCAGGCAAAATTCAGGATGATTTTTACCTTTCTACTTTCCATCCTATACTGGACTATACTTTACAAGTAATATTATTAAATTTAACATTCAAGATCATTAAATAGATCCATAAAAATACGGTACTTAAATAATATTCCTTTTCCTATTTATAGACAATTTATTATGAATTACCTCGGTTGACTGATATGGATATGAGTGAGTGGATAACTCCGTATGTATTTGAAAATATGAATTTTAGAGAATTAAAGGATCATTCTCTTCAGCTGTATAATTTAAATACATCATTATCAGATACTAAAACATCATCATTTTTAATAAAATCTTCAGGTATTTTATGAATTATTTATTAATTATAGTTTATTATAATTTTTGATATGTTTTATGCATGTAATGAATATCAAATTCCATAAAATTTTTTAAAATACAGGTGATACAGAATCCTTTGGAAAGAATGGTAATATGGAATTTGAAAAATTAAATGATATTCAAAAAAAAATTAATCCGTTGTCTACCAATTTGTCACATAATGATGTTTTTCCAACAATCAGAGAATCCATTTCTCATAAAAAAATATTGGATGAAGAAGGTCTTATAGTTGTAGCTTGTCTTATTAGTCGTACTCCAAATTTAGGGGGACTTGCCCGTACTTGTGAAATTTTTAATGTCAAAGAATTAGTTATTTCTAGTATGAGTCAAATTAAAAATAAAGAGTTTCAAAATCTTAGTGTATCAGCTGAAAATTGGATAACTATTACAGAGGTACTTTCTAATAACTGAGGTACTTTATATATCATTTTAATACAGAGGATATTTATTATAACTAATTCACAATTATATAGACAAAACCACATGAATTATGCAAATATTTATTGAATAAAAAAGATATGGGATGGTCTTTGGTAGGAGTAGAACAAACAGCTAACAGTACAAATTTACTAAATATGAAATTTGAGAAAAAGACAATTCTTATTTTAGGGTAAGTAATTTATAAAGTTAAATAAATTCATATTAAAATAATATAAAATATTATTTATAGAAATGAAAAGGATGGGATTCCTGCCAATTTGATACCTTTATTTGATACCTGTATAGAAATACCACAAGTAGGTGTGATACGATCATTAAATGTTCATGTTACTGGAGCAATATGTATATGGCAATATGCAAAACAACATATATTAACATAATTCTGTTTTTTATTGTAATTATATAATATTATGTCTAATGTTCATAATATTAATGTTTATAAAATTAAAATTATATTTATGTGTATACATATATATATTTATTTGAGTGACTATTATACAGAGATTGTATTCACATGTATGTTAATACATCTTTATACTTTGTATCCTATAATATGTCGTTTTCCAATACATTCTCCAACAAAGAACCAACATACAACTTCAATTCCGACTAATGTATTTAGCCAAACTTCACGCACTGAAAGATCAAGAATTCGTCCGTTTTTAGCAGCACTGATTAAGTTGGAAAAACCATCTTTTATGGCAGGTATGTCAGACAGCTTTGGTGGAACTAGTTCTACCTTCCCATAATATACAGTATTTTTAATAGCGACTTTGGTTTTTGATGCTAAAACTGTAATGAACACATAATTATGTAAGTAATAATTGATACATTTTCTTTATATTGGAAAGAAAGGTTATTGATGAATGATAACCAAACAGGAATGCATTGGTCTTACATAATCTACAGAAAAGTATTTCTAACAAATTATCAATGATTTATTTAAGATTATTCTGAAATTACTATGATTTCTTCATTTGAAAAAACAAAACAATTAATTTATTCTCATCGTACAATGAGAATATTAGTTATATAACAATCGATTTATACGTAAGTTATAACTAACTTTACGAAATAAAATAATTGTAACAATTAAACGTTAAATACATACCCGATACAATTTCAGTTACGAGTTTTGCCATTTTTAATCACTGTAACTTTCGTTTTGTAAAAAATCGCAATCGCCTCACACTCTCCTTTGACAACTCTTTTAGCAAGTGATCACCATCTACTGGTAATCTTTGAAATTATAATATAAAATCAACAAGACATATTGTAAATAAGTTTATAAAATTGTTATATATAATGTACAATAAATTGAATTTCGCATAATTATAGAATCTTATAGAATTTTTATAGAATAGTATAGAATTTTTCTTAGATTTTATATTTCATGTTGCATGAAAAGAAGTCCATAAATTAATTCAGTATAACTTGTGAAAATTCACTGTATAATATCTATATGTATAATAATTATTAATAACTAATCGGTTAAGAAATTCAAAATTATGTGTGAAATTTATTGTGCATATTTTTAATTACATTCAGGAACAAATGTAGGTTGCAAGAGAGTAATCATTCAAGCACGAATTTCAATTTATTAAATAAAATTTGCAAATCTTTATTCATATATGTCGTAAGATAAATGGAACATAGGAAGAAAGTTGAAGATTTAATTAGAAAGATGCAATTGTATAAATTTACAAATCAATGTTCTTAATTACTTTTTTGGGCAAATGAAAATTTTGTAAATTGACGAGACTAATTGTTTCACAATGAAATTAGACAATATAATAAATTTCAGATTTTCGCATAATTAATTGGTACTTTACATGTATACATTTCAAAATCGATACTTTCAACTCGATCCATTTTGATCTAAGTTTTAGAATATTGTTTACAAGGAAGTAAGTATTATTCGAATGAAAATTTTGATTTATTGACTACAATTTGTAAATTTTTTATACATAGATTTTTATAGGTCAAATAGAATATAGCAAAGGAAAGAAAATTGAGGGTCCAATTCGAAGAATGCAATTGTAAAAGTTAATAAATTAACATCCTGAATTAATTTTTTTTACAAATGAAAATTTGTGGATTTATGGACACTAAAATATTAGCGCCACGTAGCGGTGGAGATGTGGAACTAAACGCTATTGCTATTTTTGTCATATACTATTGTCTTCCTTGTCTATCACGTGATATGTATTTGATCTTGTTGAACAGTACTACGTTCCTTGTACATGAAATTGACAGATGGCAGGACCTGGTTATTTCGTAGACTTTTATGGCGGGTAATTTGTATAAATTACCAATTTATTTCCGATTTAGGATACATGTACCGAAAATAGATATGTAATTCACAAACAGTAAGTTTATTAAACTTTCTGTAAGTATACAAAACACTTACATAGAGTACAGTTTCTGTGAAAAAGCGGAGTATGCACATAAAGAATTTATATAACAAAATAAGTATCTAATATTTAAAAAATGGTATTTTGAGAACTGAGTTATAAACATTGTGACATTTTTTTTTTTGTATTTATTAATTCCAATTTTTTACACGTAATTCAGGTTCTAGAATGCTCCAATTTGGCGAATGTTTTTCGTTAGATAACCAATTAAAATCATCGACACAATTCCAGTTATTTATTTTTGGATCAAGCCCAGCTAGATTAAAATGATTTGCTTGATCTTCGTAAGACCAATTATAAGGTGCTACACGTATTTTTGTACAATCTTCTATAATTGATCTACTTGTAACATGTAAATAAATAGTACAATCTGTTGAAGAATGAAGTCGAAGCTGTTGACACGCGAAGGCAAATGCACATTCATTACAGTCGTGTGCAAATACAGATGATGTTACTGGTCCAACTAATACGGTACACTGTTTCAAGTTCACCATGTGTAAAGTACTAGGTGTGCCGTAAATTCGTACTGTACAGTGGATTAAATCAGAAAGTAGAATATCATTTTTATTCACATTTTCAGCATCCAAAATTAATTGTTCATTAACTTTCCCTAGTAACATACATGCACTATCCCCGTATTTACTTGATAATTTATGATTTTGTTTTGTAGACCCATTTACAATTCCCTCTGATATCTTCAAATCTTTTAAACCATCTGTCATATCGTGTGTTTTGTCAGAAGTTTTTTTCACAACTCTTCGATTTTTAAAACCAAACTTCTTTTTAGGTAACAATTTCATTTCTAGATCAGAGGCTTCATTCTCTAATAACTGTAAATTTTCTTGTGCTCTTCTAATATCATACACCTTTAAAAACATTTTTGATTGTGACAAATAATTTTTAAGTGTCTGGATTTCTTTATTTATTTTATCAAATATCCCAGGAAGAGCTGGCGTAGGAGCATTGGGTGCATCATCTAACATTTCTTTAATTTTCTTGCATGATGAATAAAATGTGTCTTTAAAATAACTACTTTGTTCGGATTCAACAGCCAATGATTGCCTTTCTTCTCTCCGTCTTTCAATAATATTCTTCCTTTCACGATCTCTTTTAGTAATACGATCTGGTAAACTACCTTCTATTAGTGTAGGAGAATCCATATTGCACTTTTAATGTTATCTTTCTTAAAATTATGTCTTATATATCATTCAACTTTGTATGTTATATACTTGTCGTCTTCAATAATAAATTTATCTTTACCAATGGTTTATTATAATAGGTTTGCGGATTTTATACTTAAAGGCTTTTAGGTAAAAACTGAAAATATATAAATAATTAATTTATATTAATAAATAAATAATTATCACATAAAAAATTTGTTAAATATTAAGTTAAAAAATCAAAGAAAAATAGAAATAAAAGCTGTTTAGCAAATATTAAAAGAAAATATGTTGGACTAAGATTCTTTAAAAATAATATAGATTATAAATTTTGACAAGAACTGTCAAAGTAGCAATTAATTATAAACAGATCTGTCAACTATATTCTATGTATGATGCTGATCTCAGAGCATACAAATACCTTTTCTTAAGGAGCATCAATTTCTGAAGAGTATTTTAAGCCGTCACTACCTATTGAGAATAGTGGAATTTTCGCAAACTTCATATGATTTAAATTTCATTTTGTTGCTGTTGCCACAGTGTAATATCCTCTAATCTGGTACTTGTGTTACGTACTTTGCTTTCAAGCATATAATAACCGTCCAACAGTAGTGGACAATACTTATACGCAAAATATCTGCAACCTGATATTTATAACGTTCATTTCAATAATTATTTAGATGCATTTACAAAAATTTTACCAAATGTGCGATATGATATATTGTATATTTTTTCAATAGCACGAATGCAGCTAACTGCGATAAATTTAAATTTTCATCATAATGATTTTCGTATGTTTTCTTCATACAATATTCTTATGTATTTTGAAATATTAATTGTTATACAAACTGTGTTAAACTGACAACCGACTGAAAATAACCTAAAATATAAAAGAACTATACGGAATAATATATAACTTTTGTTTACCTTGGGATGTACTTAAGTAATGCCAGAGTGCTACTGATCCAATCAAAGAGAAACATTCAGATATGATTAAAAATTTTATTACAGGAAAAGATCTTCGTGGTGACTTATGAAGCATACTAGCTAACAATATGATTTCCTAAAATGGAAATTATCAATACGGCACAGAACGATATATTTTTCGAGATATCGAAGCACTTCGATAAGCACAAATAAAGCAACCTTTATGCTTTACTCTTGTTATGCAACACTCGAAAGAACAGTTACTCTGTTCGATATAAAGAGCGGAAAATTTAAATTTACATTAAATATTAATTACACCAATGATATATACATGACAATAAAATAAATGTTAGAAGTTATTTATAATAAAAATTACGTCTTTTACAATACGATAGGTGTAAAACTATATGTAAGTTTTATCTGATATATTAAAGAATTTTATTATAATCAAATATACAGCAAGAGACATGTGAGATCGCAGTCTAAAATATCTCCATTGTTTTTAGTGGTATGAAAAATATTTAAAGGAGGAAGCTGTTTAATTTGAAGAGACAAATAATAGAATAATCATTTTTCAAAACTGTATGATATAGATTCAATTATATCAAGTTTAATTATAATAATTAAGTTTCGAAATAAAATATACATTTGAAGTGGCGTATTTGAATCACAATTGAGCTTCTTATCTCATATAAATATGACTTTAAGCAATAAAGTAGTTTTGATAAAATATCACTTTTCATTTATTTATCTGCCCCTCAAATTTAAATATTAATTAAGGTATTTTCAGATCCTCCCTTAAAAATTTTTGTGCATTACCAAAAATAGTGTTCCTATTTTACGTGACCCATCTTATTTATAACATAACTAATAATATTATAATACTTATTTTTGCATCTGCTCATCTATCAGTTATGATGTTATGAAATTGATTGTAAATCTATTAACAGAGAATAATGTACAATGTACAATATAAAAGCATTTTGTTGATTCTTATATTTTAAATGAAGTAATTACAATAGAGAAGTTGTAATAGCAAAAATTTTTGGCCTTATTTAGGCCTTTAAAAAAAAAAAATGTTTTGTTTTGATTACTATATAGTATTCAAAAATTTCATGTTGCACAACGTATTGTAATATGCTTTTTTTCTCACATTTCACTATGAATGTATAAATAAATTTGAAAACATTGATGCAGAATAATATATTATAATAAACTTTTTCCATAACACAACATTTTATGTATAAAATAGCGATATAATTTAATAGTACACACGTTACGTTTAGAAAGTGCAGAGCATTGTACCTATGGAAACAGCCTAATTTAAACATTGTAGAAGAATATTTATTATACAGCTTTTCATACAAAAGCATAGATAAAGTAAGTAAGTGGGAAACGTGTATTTTTAAACAATCATTTAAGAGTGCATTTGCAAGTAGTGTTCTTTATATATATAGCAATAAAAAAATAATTATTAAGATAATTTCTTTCATGATTTGTACAGGAAATGATGTAATTTCATTTTATTTAATTCTTTTTATATATCAAGTATTTAAAGTTAAGCACAAATTCTGTATCAAAATTTTGTTAATATTATTAATGCAAAATTATGATATTAACCTATTATTAAATTTATTACAATTTGTTTTAATCTGTAATAATAGAGTAATATCTTACTAAAACAACTCGTTATATGATATAGATTATATTTTAAAAGATTAAGAAATACATATTCGTTTCTAAAAATAAGAAATGTCCGTTATTCGAAAAATAGGAAATATTCGTTATTATACATACTATGCATAAACAAATTCTTATTCACACATCTATTTGACTCTTTATAGTTTATTTAAAATATTTTCGGATAAATTATAAGTAACACAAGCAATTAATTCACGCATTATTGGTCTCAAATCATACAATTAGTACCTAATATTACGCACTTTTAATATAATGTATCTATTCTAGATATTTTAAGAACAAACACACACTGCTACGATAACAAACGGCAGTTCTTTTGCATAAAACCATATATTTATCATTTTATGTACATACGAAATAAGAAATTAAAATCTAAACGTTTAAGAAATATAGAATAATAATAATGTACATAAGGATTCTTTAACAAGTTTTGCTTCCTTGGTAAGATGAATCATATTATAATCTAATTATATTAGCTGTTCTAATAAACAACTTTAATTGCACTGTGAAAACGCAAATTGTTATGTAAGATATAATTAGTTTATGCTTATGTATTATTATAATTTTTTTTAATTTTGTCAAAATCTCAGTACATATCTGGTCCAAAACTATTTAGAAATCATATAGTATGATCCAACGTACAAGATAATACTGTTCAAAAAGTAGCTATTTCAATTATCCATTTTATAGTTTCTACTATAAATTAAATAAAAAAAAAAGTTTTTTTTTCAACTTTCAAGATTGTATGAAAGATCTTTGCCCCTTATTTACGTCAAATAATTGAAATTTAAATAATTTTTGTATGCAAATTTTTATATTTAATTTGTTGAACATGGTATATTTTGTATATCAAGTTGTCGTACACTAATTTTATAGAAAAAAACGAATTCTAATAACTTTTTTTATTGCATAGAAAAGTAACATCGAAATATTTCAGAATGAATATAAAAATACTTAATTATAAGACAGAATCATTATTACTTTATTAATATTAGAAATGAAAAGAAAACAATACTGTATAAAAGAATTAAGACGAAAAGATATGTAATATTTAAATATTTTTAAGTAAAATGAGTCATTTATCATTTGTTATATTGCAAATTATACCAAATTATGAAAAGATCCTGGAAACTTTTAATTAGATTATAAAGTGCTAAGGCACCACAGGTAAATGCAAATGATAATAGTGATTGGTATCATATTATCTCACTACAATTTTAGGGGCATAAACTACAGACATTTCTTTTTCATGTAAACTTCTCTTGTTATGTAAACGTGTTTATAATATTATTTGTTCTGAATGTATTTGTACACACATACTCTACAACTTCTGATACTGTGAGACCTCCAGTTTGGTTTCATTGTTCAATATCAAATCCAAAGAAAGAACAAAAGAAAGAATTTAATATACATTGTGTTTTTTTTTTATTTATTAGTAAAGAAATCATTTTTAAAAAATGAAAAATGGCAAATTGTACAATTTGCTATGAACAAGACAAAAATTGATATATCACATAAAAATATAATGAACATAGCATTAAAAGATGTTGTAATATTACATATATTCAAAATAACAATTATTCATAGCACATGTTTTTAGTTTTGATTTGTAATTTTTAAATATTATATGTAGTCATAAAAGATGTTATAGTTATTTTGTAATAATAAAACTCAATACTTGTAATAAATGAAATGCGACATGTACAAATATTTGATTTATATTAAGGAACTAATGTTTTAAAATAAATATTCAGAATCTACGTACTTTACCAATATTGTATTAAAATTTTTATGAGCGTGAGAATATTAAGGCAAATATTTATAAATTTTTGACTCAGTACGTATATTTTAATAATGTAAAATCACAGTACTGAATAAAGGTACTAATATCAGGATTCATGCTCAACTTTCACACACAAATCCAGTTTGTTTTTTTATATTAAAATCGTCAAATTTTCAAATTTCTAATTAATCCTGTGTCAAACTGTACGTCTCATAACTGTTTATAAACTTCATAATTTATCTCACTTAGTCATCAAATTATTTACTGAAATTAAATTTCTTTTCTTATAGTACTTCTACATTTTTTATCATGATTTACGACATCTGTATACAATTTGAAACATACAATATCAATGTAAGATGGCAGTTACATATATAGTGAAAAATGAGAATGATATCACCCTCATCAATGATTAAAAAAATTAATTAGAAATTTATTAAGCACGAAATTCTTATTTACAGCTTTTTATTTTTAGAAAGATTAAATTTGACACAGATTTTGTCAAAACAAGGTTTTTTTGATAATATTCTCGCAAAATCACAAATTTTATCTTGCTGCAATGTTATTTACTTTGTTTAATGCTTATTAATGCACATTAATTTTTCTTTTTACATTAATGCTACGACGGAATTTGTTGAATTTCTATTTTGTCATAACTTATATTAATCAACATATTATGCTGTTCTTCATTTTCAAAAATTTATATCTTTAATTCATATTGATAATCGCAATCATTTAAATTTAATTGTTACAGGCAAATGAACCATAAGATTTCATATAAAATTTACTAATAAGAAAAAAATTGATTTTCAAATAACCTAATCATTAGTTCTTTAATTAATTAGCAGATGATGCTAACATGTCTTTCATTTACTCTCAATAGTAGTCATTTACCCAGACTTACAGTACTGAGGCATAAAGACATAGCTGCTGGGGGCAGGAAAGAGTCAGTATGACGATCAATATGACAGTCTTTTGAACACCATGAGGTCATGGGAACACTGATATACTGTAGTGCGCTACGATACCATTTCATGCCATCCACTACCATTTGAAGAATTGCTTTCTAATGGAACTAAAATTCAAACGTATAAATTATAATATAAAATATTAATATCAAATATTTTCATTTAGAAGGATCACTAACATTTTTATTGACAGTTAAGATTAATAAACTTACCAGTCTTGTCGCTATCTTTTTCTGGGGAAGATGATGTAGGTCCCCATATTCTCACTGTGCAATCATCTGATACAGAAGCCATCATTTGATGATATACAGGATTCCATGAAACACAATTTACTGTTCTACTATGTCCTGTTAGAATTGCTATAGGTAATTCTCTTCTGATATGCCACACGTACACTTTAGTATCTATAATAAAATTTAATACAATTGTAGAATTATATATATAACATCATTTCGAAATGATATTATGAGAAGATAAAATATTTTTATTAAATAATTCACCTTCACTGCCGGATGCAATGAAATCTTGATTCACACCACCAAAACAACTATGGATTGTAAAGTGTCCTTGAGTAACACCTTGAAAACGTCTTACTAAACATCTATCTTGTAAGTCCCAAAGATGTACACCCTGATTAGCCACATTAAGAAGTGCAAGTCGATCTGCTTTATTTACACTAAAGGACATCAAAGGATGATCTTCTTGTAATCTGTAATATCAAATTCAAATGTTATTCAATATATGTTTATATTGTACTGTTCATAACAAAATTATGATTTTACATTGTAAAGTCACACAATTCATCAAAATTATATCCTCGAATTCGATGATGCGAATCAGCAGCAAGAACCGTTTTTCCATCATTTTTACACCATAAACATTTTACTCTAACTCCTTCCCAAGATTCTGAGACATTACCTTCTATATCCTAAAATTTCATGTTTAAATATTTAATGTATTATTTCTTTCATTAGACTGATGAAATATAATATGTCAAAAATTAATTGATGTTACAAATTGATAAAATTGTCCACGAAGTCCTCCTGCTACAAATTTACGTGAATCAGGATACCAAGCACAAGCTGTAAGTGAATCATCGGTACTTTGAGTTACTGTTGCCCGTAGTTCATAATCAGGCGGGTCAATACTCCACAGCCAAAGCTCTGGACAATCTTCAGGTCCACAGGCAATTAAGAGACTGCTATCAGGACTCCAAGCAATTAGTGCCACTCCATAAGTATGACCTTCTAATGTTTTTCTATGAGTTACTCTTAATGTTTCCTATTTTTAATAAAAAAGTGGTTAGTTACCAAATACTTGTAGTTTATTATTTCGCTATATTCAATAATTTACTTACTGGATCAACATCCCAAATAATTACAGTCATATCCTTAGAACCTGTAGCTAGCTTACGACCATCAGGAGAAAATTTACAATACCACACTTCATCACAATGATTATTGAGCACCTGTATAGTATGGCACGGGAACTGTTCTTTGCTACAGCTGTGGTCCACAAGCAATGACACATTTTCTAAACTTGTCTAATTTACAACAAATATATAATCATAATTATATTAATAATAAAGCAAGACAAATATTATATAAATTTAAAAATTTAAAAAAAATTTTTGTTTTGTTTCAGAAATATAATTTAGAAGATAGTAAATAGTACCTGAGTATGTGTTACATGGTATGTACACTGTTGATTTTGCATTTCCACAGCTTGACACAAAAGAGAATGAAGGCGACGTGGTGGTAACATAATGGAGGGTGGCAGATATTTCTGTAGTCTGTCCATTAAAGCAGCCCTCGAGACTGCACCTTTGCCATCCCAGCCTGCACGTGTCTGTTAACAAGTGTCTATTTGCTAGTGATCAAATTTTCAGTAACAGGTTAGTTTCAGAATATTTCTATACCCATACAAAATTCAATCTTTGAAAGTTCATTAGTATACAATTAATTAGCAATAAATTATATAATAAGTACTTTACTATATATATTTTTGAAATAGAATGTTACTAGTGAAATACATGTATGTGTATATATATGTATAAAATACCTGTAATTCATCACGTCCACTGCACATCATAAATGCAGACAACTGGTGAACACGACCTGTATTATGTCCTAAAGGTGTGAGTTCATTGCGTAAAACATGCAATGCTTCCAATACTAATCCTTCTTCCAAGTATTCTAAATATTTTTGTTCTAGTAATAAGAATTTCATTTCCTATAAATGGAAAACATCAATGGAATATATGCGTACTCAATCATAGATTCTAAATTTGAAGATATTTACTACTAGACTTTGATTCGCTCCATTTAGAAATGTTTTAAGTTCACTAAGGTCATGTTCTGCTTTCGTCCAGTCTCCATCCATAACATGTTGTCTAAATTTTGCAGCAGCTGGATGATCTAGACGACAACCTGACTCTTGCATGAGAAGATCTGCTGTGCGACTGAAAAAGATATTTCATATTGTCACTTAATATAGTAAAAGACTGACTAATTATTTAATTTTTACTTTTACTTAATTTCATATAAGTCGTAGTTATAATTTTTTTCAACATATTGCTACATAACATAACATGCTGTATAACATAAATATAATAACAAAATATAAATAATGATAATGATGTTATTAATAATAGTAATAATGTATTACAGATACACAACATATGAATACATAATGTACATGCTTCTTTTTTAATGCCTACATTATACAGCAAATATAACTTGCAGATACTGCTGACTATATTTCAAAGTTCTATAATTAGCTTTCTCCCACCACAGAGAATGCAGTCCAGATAGGTTGTGATACAATACTTCAGATAAATGCGTACATACAAAGAAAACTTAACAAAGAAAACCTTCAAGAACAGTTATCAAAAAGGGAGAAATTCATGAAGGTTGAATTATACCGCTTGATAGTCGATTAATAGCAGATACATTATGCAGGTTGCTTTCTCAATTTTAGTCATAACACACATAAAAATATATACTTTGATTTTTTGAAAGCATTCTTTATCAAGGGTTTACAAATATACACAGAAACCAAATTAAGAGATACATACTTAAGCCCAACTGTCTTCAAATGTTGTCCAATGAGTCTGACAATATCTTGATTGGTTTTGTCCATTATTTTCGGCGGTCCCAAATTTTGATTTGTTTCTCCATTAACACCATTGATGTCACTATCCGATTCTGGTATCATGTTGCCATTTGCATGAGGTCCGCCAGAGTCAGCTGTTGAACCATTCTGCTGTAGCCCGGAGGAAATGCCACCGTTTGAAGTCTGCTGTTGCATTACGCTGTCATGCACAGGGAAATATTACCCTTGATGGCAATGGTAGTCCGCAATATTAACAAGCATGTGTACTAATCGGTACATTCTATCTTGACTTAATGTCCCTTGTTTACTTTTTTTTTTATTGTTTTTTTTTTCTATCATAAGAACTTTAAAATGCTATGTTTGTGTACAAAAAATCTATGATTATTCGATGAAAGGATTTCAATAAATAAGAAAACCGCTTGATAGACAGCACATATGAAAGGAATCCGACGTCGATACGTCTTGAGATTCTGCAAGGAAGAAGATACACGTGAGAGCGTCATAACGAAGGGGGTAAGCCCCTTCGTGTGTTGATTACGCGCTCGCGATGATCTAGGGCCCTGATTGAGTTACCGATAGTTTTCCATCTCAGGATCGGTGTGGTGCTCGTCCGCTGGTCGTAGGGTAGTCGGGAGAGAACTACGAGACCTTTTGCACGGTGGCGGAGCGAGTCCACCGTCGTCTGACTCGCTGCTCGAGGCCAGGCTTATGCGCGTACCGCCCCGTTTTTCACACGATTATTGTCCCTAAGATCGTTGGTGGGGCTGGGGCTGGAGCATGCACGCAGCCACGGTTGCGTTGCACGGAAAACTCGTAGCCTCCCCTCTTTTTTTTCTACTTCTTTTCCCGACTAATCTGTATACCGTTTATCCCGTCGGACCTGCTGACCGACGATCAGAAAACGAAGAAAAACAGAATTCTTGCACGCCTGCCAAAACGGATACGAACAATGACTGCTACACAGCTGATACTTGTTTAGATCGTCGTTTACGTCATACTGTGATCTTTGCAGATAGTTCCGTTGACTATGGCGCCCGCTATGTCCGCTCAGAAACGTTGCCTTTCTGAACTTCTAAAATTCCTTTTACTTTGAATTTTCACTGTAAGATGGTAGCACTTACCTGGTGAAATATTATAGCGGGAAATTTGATTTCCTTTTGCATGCTTTAATTGCATGTATACTTCTCGTATAAAGCTAATAAGCAAACGAATCATTTAGTATTGCACTATTAAGTCTTTGATTTCTTTATTCAGCACAAATTATGTCATTAATATAAGTCGTTTTGCTTTAAAACTAATATTTATTATATAAACAAATCTATTATTTATTATTATAAAAAAGTGTACTACAATATATCATAGATATATAATACTGTGTATAAACAAACTTTAATATTTTGATTATTAACAATATCTGAAATATAAAAATATATTTTTTATATATAAATATTGTTAAATATATATTGATATCAAATACTTTCAATTTAACTAACCAATAATTACTTTACAACAAAAGACTTGTAATCAAATAATTCGATATAAAATATTATCGAAACATAGCTTCGATATTTGAAAAACAGATTCGATATGGATCTCGTAACGGATTTTCTCGTAATGAAAGTACATATGTATAAAAATGCATGACAATTTTCGAAATTGGAAAGATATAATTCATTATATTATCGATAAATTTCAAGCAATTTATATGATTCGTGTAAGAGCTTCGTGGGGTAGTAGTCGATTCGACTGTGTTAGGTTAGTCGATTATGGGAAGTCGACGTGTGCCGCTAGTCAGTCAGTCGTCGGCCGCCGGCGCAGTACGTTGTGTTGGTGCTTTATCGAACCTTGTAAGTTTCGTTTTACAGAACTGTGCTCCAAATTTCTACAAGCTTGCACATCTAACAATTATCAGAGAAGTTGGCGAATTCTTTGCGAATGAGAATGCCATTCGTGGTAACGTCAGAATGCGTTTTCCCGCTGTTCGATTAACGTGCGAGAGAGGGAAAGAGGAATTCGTTTCACCCGCGTTGAAGTTCACGTGAGATCACTGAATCTCGTGTAAGCGGCGGCAAACGTGCGATCTGTGTTGTGTTGTGCATTTTATAGTATCCTTACGTAAAAAGTGTTTACTCATTACGATCACCTGTTACGCGTCCAAACCGGGCCCCCTGTGTGTTACGTTGGATTAACCGGATTATGTGCATCATCGGGATGTTCTTTTTGCTGACATAAATCATTGGAAGCTAGGAACGAAAAGAGAGGTAATTTTCTCACATCTTTTTATTTCGTACTCGTGTGATCAAAATTAAACGTTTCATATTGAAATGTTTCGTCACGTCTTTTTTCAAAAAGTCTGTTATTCGCAACTATTGGTTCAAATGGCTAGACGCCATTTTTTAAAAAGGCGGGCAAAATGAAAGTAGAATATATTTATACATAGAGCACATTACTTTTCGATGCGTGTTCTTTGCTTATTCATTAATGAAATATTGTATTTCATCCTACATTAATGATTTCTATGATATCATATTATGGCATCTTGTGAAATTTTTATGTTTCAAAAGTTCTTTCCATGTGCAAGTAGTAGTAATATATACTCATTTCTGTGAAATTGAATATTGGAGCAACTTTTGCTCTCCGATACTACGCGATGCCTTTCGTATTTATTCAGACAAAATTTATTTTCTTTTTCATTATTCCTCATAATTGATCGAAAATATCGATCTAATTTAGGTTAGGGATTATAGCTTTAGGAATTTAAAAAATTTTTATTACTTGCAATATTTATTCGATAAAATTTGAAAAAATCGGGGCAGTAGCTTGAAAGTGAATACTAACGATTCGAATATTAAAGGCGCACACGCGTGTGATTATTTGTCCGTAAAAAATTTTCTATAGCGGACGTATTTTTAAATACACGTAGCGAGTCCATGTATGCACATTTCGATGACCACCGTACGACGGCACGTCGCCGAGTGGAATGAGCGGCACAATTGTAGTGCGACGAAGAAGATTTCCGAGTGCCGACAATGCGATGGTACTGGTAGAAGGGAAAGGTGCGTTGCAACTAGTGATGGCCACACGATTGTTTCCGAAGCAGATTTTAGAATAACACGATATAAAAATTTTAATCATGTTGACAATATTACTCAAATATCAAAGACTGGAATTACATTTTTAGAACGTACAATTCGATGCAATTCGAAATTCGCAATCAAGTGAAACAATTATAATTCCTACAATGATGAATCAAGCATGAAGCTTGAAACCATATATTGCTTGTTACATTTGTTACGTCAAACTGATCGTTTTAATACACACATAGTTAAGAACAACAGCGAAAGACTCTTTATTGAAAAAAATAGAGTTTATAATTCTGATGCTTGGAAAATTTGAAAGTTTAAAGCAATAAGAAGGCAGCTGTAGCGTCTAAATTGTATTTATTGGAAGAGAAAGTTTCGTATTTAAAAATGCAATGTTTATCAATTAATGTATAGATGGATTGTGACGAATGTTTTATTTCGATTAATATTTGAAGCGCTTGGAAACGTTTCGAACCCATCGCTAGTTGCGGGATGGGAAGATGTTGTCCATGGAGAGAGGGCACATTCCATTGTGGATGCGCATGCGCACATTCTGATTTGCGGCACCCGCGCATTCGACCGCGTGTAGCCAGTGTTGTTGAGGTTAACTTCTTTTGGTTTATATCTGGAAAAAATTAATCTCAATGCGGAACGTGAACCGCAACTGTGCGTACCTTCGAAAATTAGGTAAGCAATCTATGTATTTTTCATTAATAATTTTCACGAAATACTGAGATTCCATGTTTCTTCGTGCGGAGTATAATATTATAATGTCTCGCTATTCGCCATGCGTTCGTTGCAAGTGAAAAATGGAGCGCCTTTTTGATTTCAATCTTTTCAAAATCTTCTCTTCGTATTTATAAGTCAATTTAATATTAAAAACAACACAATGACACGTGAATTTTAATTAAAATCTTTTAATAGAATGCGCCATGATTCTCTTATATCTTCAAAGCTATCAATCATTTTTCTTATTCTTTTTTCGTTTCTTTCAAGTTTGTATGTTTCTTATGCTGTACATACACGTAATTAGCGAATGTTTATCTTTTTTGTTGTGTTGGATTTTTGGCACTACACCGCGCACAATCTAGTAGAGGGAAGCTTCATCGTAGGCATAAAACGATTCTCCAACTCGCGGCGCTCTCTTCAACTTTGGCTCACCCGTGTTGAATGTTAATACGTAGGAAACGGTAGCCGTGACTACCACCATGCATTATACTTGAAAGTAGTTTAAGCGCAATAAAACATTCGTCATTCTCCTAAGAGGTTGCTGGTACCGGTTGTAGAAACACGAGATAAGTTAATATCATCCAACTGTACGTTATTACATTACTTACGATTCTTATTAAAATTTTTTAGAATTTTCGAAGACTCCGCAGACATTATGATTTTTAATTTACAAATACATTGACCAATTGTAAGTTATTTCTATCAGCGTTTACATCTCATCGTGCAATTGCGAATTTTTATGAATTTTATCGAACGAGAATTCCATAAATTCCATAAATCCTTTAAATTTGAAAGAAATTCTTAATTTATAAATCCGCTGATAGATCTCAGATTGCGATATAAAGACTGATTGTAATTAACAATGTTTATAGCCATCGGTTCGTCGAATCGTTATTAACGTTTCAACGAATTACATTCTGCGTAACATCGTCGTTTATTTCCGTTTGATGGATATACGTTTGATAGACCCGCGATTAAAGGAAATGTATTCTTCTTTCGTTTAACGCAAGAATGCAGAACGTGTGTATGCGCGGTCGAGTATTCACGATATCGTAATTCACTATGTATATATTATACATACGTGTCCGTGGAAACCGCATTGTATAGTTTTGTACGTCTCGCACCCCTCGCTTCTTGTTGCCTTGTGCCTTTTGTGTGTTTGTCCTGCGTAAATATCGGCTGTGCAAAATACTTTTCGAGGCTACGTTGGAGGCCGTTTGTGTGCCAGGGCAAATAATATCCAGGCATCTCTTTAGCCGACATTTGAGAGGTCGTCCAAACACCTTTTCACCTCCTACATCAAAGCTGCTCCAACTATTCCAAGTATTCGGGGGTTCGAAATTCGAATTTGGTCGACAGATTCTATTTCTTTTTTTTTTTTTTAATATTATATCTAAGCATTTAATCTTTCTAATTCATTAAACAGTTGTGAATCTTTCCCATCTAGAATTTCATTGAGAGGTTGTATTTATAACTTTTTTGCCATTGATGCAATCAGGATCTCCATATATAAATTATTTTGGAGTATTATACATGTACGAGATGTATTTTTGAACAGAACTCCAAATTAATTAAACAGTCGGATCCTAACTTTGGTTCACGAAAAATCTGCTATCTGTGTCACGTAGTGCTTCAGGCATACCACTGTGTGCGAGATTAACCATACAATTAGACCAGAACCGTAATGAATGATATCGCAATCGTGTCAGGCTAGCTTCGTACGCGATTGCCAGTAGTCTCTTTTTGAAGAAGATCCTCTGGACCATTCTCGATGAGATGCACAGATCGTGACCTGCAATTCGAAAATAACAAAATTGCATTGGAGGTTTTAGTTTTAGTTTTTGACTTACGTAATATAAATTTGACGATTTTTTTTTAAACAATTAACAAGAAATTTACATTTCAAGAAATTTACATTTCAGCATGGCTCCACTTATACATATGTACATATATACCTATATAAACATACATGAATCGATTCGAGAAGCAGAAAAATAACTGGAATCGATCAGACATAATAATCGATGGCAAATATTCAAAATGATCCGACAGTTCTACACGTATTTTTTTCGAAATCTGAAAACAAAAACTGCCCGAGCATTCTTTCTCATTTGTTCTCGTTTTTTCTTCCCCCGCCGTAGTAACGTTTCTGTCCGAAGTATCATTTCGATTTTACGAGCAGGCTGGCCTGTAATCCATCATTTCTCTAGGATCCACTTAAAGTTCCAATCCAACGATGGTTCCTGGAAAGCGGTGTGTACAGTAACCGTGATCCGTGATTCCACCGACATATTTTCACTTCTTCCGATTCCATTCTGCCCGAAAGAAAGTAATGGCCACGCTGATGGTAGATTCTACCGGTGGAGAACACGGGAGAAATTTTTCGCCTTGGAAAAAGTTGAGAGTCGCGCGTCCATCGAGATCGTAAATTTCTTCAGAAACTGTGGAACAATTTTCAATCGTCGTTCCTCGCGAAAGGAAAAATCGAACGATTACTTTCATTTTTTTTTTCCTTTTCATTGGTCTCTCGGTTCTTCTTCTTCTTTTTTTTTACGATTATTGAACGAACGGCACGGGCAGGCCAAATGCACGTACCAAAAGCAGCCGAGAATTCCGAGCCATTTTTCTCGAGGAAATCACGAAGAATGTGGTCGAAGGCGGAACGCGCAGGTGCTCCTGGTCTCCCCTTCTCTCTTTCTCCACGCATACCCAGATAGATTCCGCTTCATTCCTTTGGTTCCCTTTCTTCCATTCCTCCTCCTCCTCCTTCTTTCTCTCTCTTTCCCTGTTTGTCTTTCTCCCTCTCCGGGACAACCTTTCTGCCCAACTGTAAAAATTGTCTAACGCAGGTCTAAATATTCGGGGGATACCGTGGGGTGATTATAATTCTTGGGCTGAGGTTACCTCGAACGAAGGAATGCCGAGGGGCGGCTAAGACAAAGCGCCATCTCCAGCTTCGCCCTTTATCTCTTCACCAGTGGAGATTAGTATCTATAGTCGGACGACAGATGGTGGTCGGTAGCTACACAGTCCAGATTCTATATAAAGTCGGGAACTAGCGGAGAACTTCTTATTCCTCATTTTTTTTTCTTTTCTTCTTCCTTTCCTTTCTCTTTCTTCGTCGTTTCTTCGTCGTATCTTGTGCTCTTGTGGCTCTCTCTCTCTCTCTCTCTCTCTCTTTTTTCTTCTTTCTCATTTCACGCTTAATAATTGATCTTTGAATGTATGGACCAACGATCGGATCTGTTTGATCGAACGTAACAATCGACAATGCACAGCACTCATTCATTACTCGTTAATTAGTATTTCGCGTCAAATTTCGTACGTTAAGATTTCCCACTGACTGTAAAAAATATCGTTACTCTGAAAACCAAGTGTAGGAACTCTGATTCTGCTCCCTTGGCAAAATAAAAATAGACGTAAATGCTTTGTAGCCACTGTACAGAGAAACGAGTCTCTCTCATTGTCTCAGCGCTCTCTCGTAACATGTCTCGTGCGTTAAACGAGGCGAATGCGTTGCGTACCAGGAATGCCCCGAAAAAGAAGGTAGAGAGGCAAGGAGAGAAGAAGAGAAGAAAGTTGGGGGGAGGGGGCCGGAAATTTATGAGACACCGCCGTGAGCTATTATTGCTCAATAAGACGCTTAAATATCTGATAACAGTACCGGTAATCAGTGTTCCGAAGGGATCGGAAATCGGGGCGGTGTACTCGGCGAGGTTTGGCCGCGCGAGACATGCTAGAATCGAGCAGACCGAGTATCACGGTATGCCGTGCTAACGGCTTTTGCGAAATTTTCGGCACGGGACAGCTGATGTATTCTGGCTTAATACATGCTTTCGTACTCTCGTAACGGCAGTAGTTTCGTCGGTAGGGGCCAGCTCGATGGAAACGTAATCACTGAGGAGAATATTGGCCGGGCCAATCCGCCTGGCCAACCTCCTTTTTCTCGTATATAAACTTCCAATTTCTCGAGAAATTCGCGATGGCTGTTTTGGTATATACGCGCGCGCATCGGGATGTCCGCGATTATCATAATTATATCCTGATGCGATGAGTCATACTCGCGTCGAGTGTGCTCGTAACGCATGAGCCAAGAAAAAGAATGGAGAATGCGGATCGTTTCGCGATCCCAACGTTTTGAATCATCTCTCGCACGAAAACCTGTACGATCGTTCTTTCGTTCCCTTTATTGGTTAGATATGGCGATCATGAACGTTTGCACTGGCGTAGTTACTGTTTCTTAACATCGGAACATTTACTTGTAGAATTATTCGGTGAAATATTGGGTGATGTTCGTTGCTTCAGGTTTCATCAGAAATTTGTTATTTCGTTCGTTTTACGATTCATGTTAGAACTATTAAATTCGATGGATTTAGTTAAACTCAATTTAGCTTAATTAAAATATATATTAAAATTGTGAACTGACTGTAGATTGAATTAAGTTTGATGAATTTAATATTTTTATTAGTAATTTATATAGATAATATTGTTCTGCAGACAATGACAATGGACGGAATTGAGATCATTTACTATTTGATCAATTTCGATTTTTCGATTGAAATCGTTGTACACGCGCAGACGAAACAATTTCGTATTTTTGAAGTTAAAAGTGGATCTGACGCGACAGGGCTAGATTCGTTTTGGAAATTTGTTTATCGAGAGCAAAGAATGTGGTAGCTGTTTGAATTAGACGGAAAGATTAAGTGAACAGTGGTGTTCTAAAAAGATATCATGTCGATAAGACACGAATTTCATGAAACGAGACAAAATTCATCGTCTCGTTGGAACTAGATTCTCGGGATAAGTAAAAAAAAATAAAGATTCGACGTGTGCAAATAATCACGCAAATTTCTTTCGCTTTGAATTTGCTTTGAAATATTGACACGTTTCGAGAACCATGGAATTAGATTCGGAAAAGAAGGCAAACACTTCGGGTATTACCATTAATTTACGAGTTTTGTTAGCAATTTGCCTAAAAGAACAAAAAAAAAAAAAAAGAAAAAAAAAACACACAGACCGTCGTGATTCATTTTTCGTTATTTGATCTGCAATGACGTTTCCAAAATTCTTGCTAGGAACGAGTAGATATTTGACAAACGGAACAGATAAAACGTGACAGGGCGTTATATAATATCTTCATATTCTCGCAGATGTGTGTGTCGAAACGATTTTCTTTTAGAAAAATAGTAATACTAATATTGTCCAGTGGTTCACGAAGGTATTTGAACAGCGTGTAATTTTTACACGTTACCAATGCCCGTGCATGTACGTTTTGCGACAATCAACGATTCGATCGTTCGAGATTCACGATGAAATGTAAAACGGCATTACACGTAGTACGTTCTGCACTCGCGGAGTAGGATTTACAGATGGCCGTGTCGGACCTGCATAATCCTCGTGCACGATCCATAATGCATCGATGAGCACCGCCTGTGCCTGATCACAATTTATAATTTATTGCCAAGTTACGAAGCATCTCTTGCACGTTTCTTTTTCTTTTTTTCTTTCTCTCTAGCCTTCCCGAGCACGTTGATTGTTGTTCGAAGTCTGATAGTTGGCAGCTCCTCTCTCGCAGAGCATGCCGTGGAATTCCGTTGATTTAAATGGCGCTCAAGGTTCAACCGCTTCGATTGAATTTACGTTCGTGGCTTTCCTCCGCGTCTTGTTATTTACGTGCGAATATTATGGGCGCTGAATTCCTCCGCGAGCCTCGTTTCGAGCCTGATCAAGATAAGCATCGTTCTTTTCGTCGTTTAAGGATAGATATGAGACTAGGTGTACTCGCGAAGGTATTCCAACACTTGTTGTGTTGTACGATTGTGAATTTTATGTTGCGCGAAACGTTTTGAAATTTGTGTGTATATCACGTATGCGTGATGAGACACGGGATTATATTGCAAGTTATTTACTGAAAATATAAACTTGACAGAACATTGATATTTAATGAAGAAGTAGCATGCGTACGCAGAGTACTATACTATAGAATTAATGTTAAAAAATTAGTACTATTTCGGTTAATTAATACAACAAGTGACTGATCTACATGAATGATGTACGATCTTTACGTATTTTAAAAATACGATCTTGAAAATGATTTGCAATCAGGGTTTTCCGATATTTCAAGATGCAATAGTACTCGAACGGTTCGTACAATTTAGAGTTAATTCTCTCTGTTGTTTATAATCTTTCATTTATATAGTGAGAGTTCGTGTTCAGATAATAATGATTATTTAATTTTTCGAGTATTAATTAAGATTTCATTTCTAAAAATGGAGTTCCCCACTGCTATTTCATTTCTCGATATACATACATACATACATACATTTGGCATTCACGGATGAAACATTTATTAAACTGACTTAAAACTGTTAGACGCTCGAATTTTGACAAAAAGTTGAGTTTCAGTTGAGTCAAAAATCTTCTGGTATGTACTTGTCCTGGGTCAGATTAAAAATGTTTCGCTGCACAAGTCTCTTCAAGTAGCCCTTATATCTCAGCATATCTGAGCGCCACTTAAAAACACGCGTATATAAGTAAATTGTGATTTATGCTTATTCTACGATTCAAAAGTATTCCGACATTTGTTTATGTGTGTTTGACAAGACATAATTTGATTACAAAATTGTACACTTCAATAAAATCTACATATATACAACCACCACAAATCAATCGCACTAAGCGAATTGCTTGCAATTCATTCTCCCGCTACTGCAAAAAATGTTTTACCTCGGAGATTTTCTATATTTTCTGCATATTTCGTGTGTATTCTATAAATATTTGCGCGTTTAAAATTGTTTTCTCGTGAAATGCATAAAAGCTCGCAGTCTACTTACAAGCGGCAGCGTGTGTGAGCACTTTCCTCTTCGTTGTCGAGGTAATTTACATAATCGAAAAATTACGTCGAATGATAATTTCGTCGGTGTACACGGTATCCGATCGTGGATAAAATCCATTCGGAGTCACACCGGTCCGGCGCTGATTTCACGTTGCCTTCGAGGAACCTTGCGAGTATCTCCAGTCCAATATTTTTCGATACCCGCATGGCGTCCGTTCGCCATATAGCGTTCGCTGTTTCGTCGCGCGTATTTCGCATAAATATCGAACGGCGGAGTGTAAAAGAAGAAGAAAAAAGAAAAAAGGAGAAAGGAAAAAAAAAAATTAGCGCTTTCGTGCGGCAACGAAACGTTCGTTCGAATATATCTCGCGAGAAAGTTCACGCGAAAATATAATTGGACGTGCACGCGCGTACCCTAAGCGAAATAACTTACAAGTGCCACCCCCTCCCGTGCTCGCCCCCTCGTTCCTCTCTTTTTTTCCAAGAGCCAGCCGTCTTTGATAAGAACGATTTCTCAGAAACCCATCGTGCGGGCATCTCTCAATTTATGTGGTACCATCATTGATATTCCGTCGAGGAGCACGATTCCTCTCCTCGGGTGAAGTCAGGGAAGGAACGTACCATAGGAAAGGAATTTATGCGAAGGGCTTGCGGTGTTCCGACCTTCACGGTCACGTTGCTTCAACCGGACCTCAAACCGCACGAAGGTTATCCCGAACAATTCCACGCCTTGTCTCCGACTGGCAAGGGACCGGGTCACATACAGAATAGAACGAACACTATTGTGAACTGCAGCACGGTGCACGCGCGCGTGCGCGGCGATTTTTATCGCGGTCCGCGCCAATACAAAAATTCCAACCGGCTATTTAAAGCTGCTGTCCCATTGTTGGAAGTGTTTCTTTCTTTTTTTTTTTTTTTTTCATCCTTCGTCCTTCTTCCTTACTTTCTCTCATTTGTTTTGTCTTTCTTCTTCTTTTCTTTTTCCGTTTGCTTTTCCCGGTTCGACGTGTCGGCCGACTTCGGCGATGGCGTTGAATGGGTCGTTCCTCAATTGGACATTTTCATAATCGTGAGACATTGCTGAAGATAAAGTCAAGTCTCGGCTACGTTAGGAGGTTGGCATCGATTTATAGGAAAACGAAAATTTCGCTTTCTTACGAAGTTTTGATCAATCGCAATTCTTTAATTTCGACTTATAGCTTTGGGAATAATAAT